CCTTGCAGGACAGAGCACTTCTGCATCAGAGAGGAGGCCAAAGGTAGTCACAGGGAGGGAGCCAGCCTCTGCAGAGCCCTAGTAGAAGGCAGTCCCCACAGGCATCCTGGACAGGGCTGAAGCTCAGCGGTACCAGGGCAGCATCCCTGGAGAAGGTGTGTGTGTGCTTCACTCTGGGACACCTCCCTTGCTCTTGGCCCCTTCCCCAGAGCCACCGGAGACTTGATCAAGGAAGAGGGCAGTGTTGGGGCTGCTGCTAGGAGCTGTGAAGGTCATGCTCCACTCCAGGGGTAAACAGCAGCTGACACCCAGGCCTGAGGTGGGTGGCCTGGTATTACAGGCAGCTAAGTTAGATAGAAATTAATGTTCAGTAGGAGAGGGACTGGGCCCTCAAGGAAGCCAGCACACACATAAAAATAAAGACATCAGAACTGTGGCTGGAGGCACATCTGACGAGAACCAGGCCTCAGAATGGAGAAGCAATAACAAGGCCTGCACGTCTCTCTTTCCAGGAGATAAACGGCAACTTGAGATTGTACTATAATCAGCACCACCTGGTCCAGTGGTCCCACACAGGCATCAGATACATAGGTGGGTGACCGAAACACCTGGACCCATGTTCCCCTCCCTTTCCAAGAATTCATTTCATCTTTCCATGTAACCTTGCTACACGACTGTTTCCCTACAGGGTCAATATTAGCTAAGTGGCTGTACTTGTAACCCTGTAGGTTGATTGTAGTCTGACCCCCCTTGTACCCACGCTATGATTTTGCTATATAAATTACCCCTGACAAAGAGCCTCAGTGACAACCCTTTTTGAGATCCCTCCTATCTATGAGGAGCTTTCTCTTAATAAACCTTTCCTACTCTTAACCTCCTTTGTCCCTTGGAATTCATCCTTCAATATTTGGGGAACACAGCTTGGCACATCTGACATCTAGCAGGCCAGGGGGTATATTTCTCCTATATCATTGGCTCACAGCTGCCCTTGTCCTAGAGGCTGTCTGCCTGGTGAGGGGACTTCACCTTTCCCCCACCTCCCAGGGCCCAGGTGTTCCCTGCTAATTTGGTGATACCTTTGTATGCATCTCTCCAGGTCCCCTCAGATATTTAATGTCACAGAAACAAAATCTAAGACAAGCTGTCTTAGGATGGACACTCTAGAAAGAATTGGTTGTGTTCTCTGCCTTCCCTCTGTCCCCTGACAGTGGGGGGAGGAGTGCCTCCCTCCCTGGTCTCATGTCCCTGACAAAGCTGCCTCCTGGACACACTGTTGAGTGCACTACACAACAGAGCCCTGGTGTTCATGTTTCTGCACCTGCTCTGTTCAGAACTGAAGACTTTTTACTTGTTTCTTCAAATTAGTGATGCTCAATCAGAGCGATTTTGCAAGGACTGGACACATTTGGTTGTCGTAACTTGGAATAGTTACTGGCATCTGGAAGGTCCAGGTCAGGAAGGCTACTCAGAATCCTACAACGCCCAGGATGGCCCCACCACTGAGAGATCTGGCCCAGTGTCAACACACCAAGATTAAGAAGCCCAGCGCTAATTGAAGAGCATGTGTCATGAAATTCCTGTTGGACATCCTCCTGCACATCCACCATGGGCCACAGAGATGCTCATATAGCCACATCGGCCCCAGTCACTGCTGATGCATCAGTTTGTCATCCTCACGGTGGCCTGGGTAAAAAGCCCAGGGGACACTGGGGACAGATGCCACCGCCCATTGTGGCCAAGAATCTGATGCCCAGTTGGACAGAGAGCCTCATCATGGTGCTGATGGGAGTCTCCTGTCAGGCTGCAGAAAAGACAACCAGACCCATGGACACATCCCCACCTCCCTCTATAGGCCCCCTGACCTGCCCAAGATACCCCACCAATTCTGGAGCTCTGGACTGCTGGCTCAGGACCCACTTCCTGGGTGTGCGGGGCCAGCTTTGATGCCAGTTACTGATGAGAGCGTCTGGCTCTAGGGAACCAGCCAGAAACAGTGTGGGGGCTTTAGCTCCGCTCAAGCTGTCTCGATGGAGAGACGGCTGTAGCTCAGGGGAGATGGATCTTGTCCAGACCTGGGAGGCGTGTCCCTGAGAAATACAGCTTCTCCTCCTGCTTCAAGGCCCCACCCAAGGTGAGACAGGGGAGGCCTGGACAGCACCCTGACTTGGTACCTGGGAGGAGGCATCAGCCCTTCCTCTTGGCCCTGAACAGTGTTTACCCGGTCCACCCGGGGATGTGTCTGCTGGGTGTGCTCAGTCGTGGGAGGAGGGGAGAGACTGACAGATAGCTCTGCTGGGCTATGTGCTGGGAAAGCCTGGTGAGAGGGTGAGGCCAGTGCTCTCGGTGGAATGAGGGCCTGGAAATCCTCTCCACAACCTCCGGAGTACTGGCCTGGCCAGCACTGCCCCCTCCTGCCTTCCCTGAGAGTCCACAAGAGCCACTACTCTGGGGCAGATCTGAGCCACAACCTGAAGGCTGCAGCAGGGCTGAGGTGTTGGACACGGCTCCCTCACACCCTAACACACCAATATGAAGAGGAGAGGTAGAGGAGGTCGGTTAGGAGTGAAGGTGATGGGGAAGCAGCCAGCCAGGATCTTCCTATTGCATCCTTCTGTGCTCAGATGTCGAGCGCCCTGACCTGGGCCTCCCTTCCCTTAGTCATGGTGCATTGAACTCGCCTGGCCCAGAGCAGAGGCAGGAGCGCACCAGCAGCCTGGTCCTCGCCTACTCCCTGTCTCCAGTGGACTCCTAGTCTGGAGTCTCAGCTTCCTAGGCTGGGAGGGTCCTCACCGCAGGGGAGGTGGTGGTCATGGACTGAGGCTGGTGGCAGAGTAGGGCAAGTCTGGATGTTGGGGTCTTAGGTCACCACTCACAGTGATCCATGAGAAGGCTTTTCAAATCCCCCTTTTAGGATAAGGAGGCTGGGAAGGTCAGCAGAGGGGCACATGGCTGGGTCTCTGTGACCTCCTGCCTGGTCACGGGCTCCTGACCCTCCTTCCTGCCCCTCTCTGCTGGACCTCACACACTCAGAAGAAAACACACACACTTAGGTGCCACCTGCCCCGTCCCCTCCCTGCTCTCTGATCCATCTGACCTCTCACCCTCCTTTCTCTCCTTGGCCACATCTCTGATCTCTCCCGAGGCCAGTGCAGCCTGCCTGGTCTCAGGGCATTGGGGCCTTCTGCCTCCCATCACGGGGAACTTCCCCTGACCTATAGACTCCGCAGTGTTCTGTTCTCAGGATGGTGTCCAGGTTACAGTGGCCATTCCAATACGTATTTGCTGATGGAGGGAAGAAGAAAAGGGGGAAGGAAGAGGGAGGAAAGAGGTCAGAGGAGAGGAGGAAGACAAGACCTGGAAACCCCTGGTGTGGGTGTCTGTTTGGAGAAGACAACCGTAAGGGAGCCAAGGAATGGGGTAGAAGAATTGGGATCAAGAAAAGATTTGTATTTTTGGCTGGAAGTCCAGCTTGTATGTGTGCTGGTGTGGATGACTCAGGGGACGGAAATCCAGAATGCAGAATGCAGAATGCAGAATGCAGAATGCAGAATGCAGAATGCAGAATGCAGAATGCAGATGAGGCTCTGTGGGCTGGAGAAGTCAGTCCATGCATGAAAAACCATTCCCCCCCCCCCAGCAGCCCAGGTCCCCTTCTCCCCAGTGCATCCACATTTGCCTCGCGCACTTTCTGTGACACCATCAGCCTTGCCTCCAGAGTATTTGCCATTTTAACACATACTTGTTCACTGGTGTGCATGTCTTGCCTAAAAGCCCAAGAGTGTGCACCTGAGCTACCTGCTTTTCTAACAAACTGGTGAGTTGAGTCGTGGGTGCTATGAAGTTCAACAGCATTTTTTCCACTTGTAATAAAAAAGAATGAAAGAGAAATGAAAAGCTACAGGCAGGCAATGTGTAACTCTCTGAGTCAACTGTACTTCCAAAAAAGTTAGCATCAAACATCATCTCACCAACGACACAACTCTATTTTAGGTTAACAAAAGCCGAAAAGTGACTCTGGATTTGTCAGAGCGCTAAAAATAACTATTCTGCCTATTTAACTTTTGCACAGGCAAAAAGAAACTGTTTTTCTGTTCTTTCAGTATTTTCCAGTGTTTCCCATCCAGGTCAGCACGTGCCGTCTGGTGGGCAATTATTTTCAATTGCGTTCTTTTCCTGGGCTCTCATCTTCCTGGTGAGATTGCCAATGTCCAGAGGGACACAGGTTCACCACCCAGACACAGGGACTGGGCACCGATCACCGTACTCCTGACATGACCACACCTGTAAGTTCCTTGCTCCTTCCTGGAACACAGAACCGTTTAGGGAAAAGTTCTTCAGTATCCATATCTGTACACACTCTCCACAAACACCACTCACACAATCCTACTGGCTCCTGCCCCCAAACCCCTCTTTGGCTGGTCTAAAATATGGCTAGTTTATAAAAATCCTGTCTTGTTCATATCAACCACACCCTTCACCCCCTCCAACAACCAGCCGGAGCACAGTTAAAATTCTAAGGCCTCCACTGCAAAAAGAAGCCCCGGGTGTTTCAGGGGGGCCTCCAGCCCACAAGGGAGGGGCGATGGGGAATGGCCCCTGCGCCAAAGGCCACATCCCTTTGCTCAACCTGTGCCTGGAATCCACCGTAATGGAAACAGATCAGACAGTGTAGACCCAGTAGACAGGCTGAAAGGACAGGGCGGCAGGCGGCCTGGTGCCCTTGGGAACTGGCTTCCAGTCGCAGACACTGAGTCTAGGGGGCCATATGGGGCTCCCGCACGGTGGGAGCCAGGTGCGCAGCGCGCTAGCCTTGACCGGCGCACTAGTAGCTCTGGAAGCCCGCGCCTGGCCGGGCTGGGCACAACAAAAGCCCGGGTTCTGGGGAGGGGGGGCCGGCGGGGCGGGAGCGGGAGGAGGGGTGCTGGGAGCGCCCGGCCTGCACTGGCTGCCAGCCACCGGGAGGAGGAGCAGAGGATCCTCGGAGCGCAATAAAACGCCGGCTCGGCCGAGCGCGCAGCAAACATCCATAGAAGGCCTGCGGGGAGCCGCTCGCTCGCCGCCCCCACCCCGCTTTCTTCGCCGCCGCCGAGAAGCTGCCCCCGCGCCGTGTCCTCATCGCCCCCGAAACCTACAGGGGAGAAAGTTTGCGCCAGTGCACGGGGCAGGTGAGGAGGGGCGTGCCGGCCCCCGCCGACCCCTGGCTCGCCATGGGCGCCGCGGCCCGCAGCCTGCGGCTGGCGCTCGGCCTGCTGCTCCTGGGGACCCTGCCGCGCGGTGCCGACGCCTGCAGCTGCTCCCCGGTGCACCCGCAACAGGCGTTTTGCAATGCGGACGTAGGTAAGCGGCGCGGCCCAACGCCCCGCGCGCTCTCGGGGAACCCAGGCTCCGCAGCGCCCCGCCTGCCGCCCAGGGCCAGGCACCCCGCGCTCGCGGGTCCCCCTAGAATTCCGCAAGTGGACGCCCGAAGCGTACTTTCTTTACCCCCTCCCGCTCTCCCTTTCTTTCCCTCTCTTTAGTGAGATGCTTCGCGACCTCAAAATCCCACCGAAATTCCGCAGCAGCTCCAGCCCCTGAAAAGGGAGCCAGGGAACGGCTTGGGTTTTGGCAGGCGGCCGCCCTGGGATGCCAGCGCTGGGGGCAGGGCAGAGGGGGACACGGCTGGGGTGGGGGTGGCTGGAGACTGGGGACCCTACCGAGGAACTCTCACAGGTGAAGCGGGAGCTGGGATTCTCGGGCTTCCAGAGGGGGGTGCTTCTTCTGCGGACCCCAGTTGGGGGCTGATGTATTAAGCGTATTAAACAGGGCAGAATGGAAGTCCCCCTACTCAGGGATCGGAGGGACCCTGAGAAAGGCCCATACAGGCGGGAGGCCTGTCTCCTTGCTGAGTGCCCTGCCCACGAGGCCCCACAAACAGGGCCCTGCCGGGACCAGCACCCCGTGAATGTATCGCTGCCTGTGACTTTTCCCAGGATGTTCCCCCAAAATTGGAGCTTTGGTGACTGGAGTGGGTAAGTGGGATTGTGGGGGTGCTCAGATTGGTCAGTGATAGCTCTTACCTCAGAGCTCCTGGCCTCTCACAGTACGTGCCAAGGAGGGAGGAAGAGCTCAGTTGTATGGGCTGGTCCCCAGGAGCAGGGTTCAGACTGGGAGAACCGCAGAAATGGGGGGTTCCGCCCAGGAATGACACTGCACACCTCTCCTGTCTTGGTGGTGGCACGTTTAGATGGACAGCAGGTGGGCCTCCATGGCCCCTCTGCCTTCCCACTAATGCCTGCCCCTAAGTTGTCTCCAGCTGAGTGTCCTTTGCCCAATGTGGCAAGACTGGGTGGGTATTCCTCACCTGCCAGAACTGAAGCTGGGGCTCCTGTGCCCTGCTGTGTCATCAGTGACCACCCCTGTACCCTCCCAGGGCTCCTTGCCCCATCACAGTTAGCCATAAGGACCACCTGCCCAGCTCGGGGAGCCTGCAGTTGGTTCTACCTGTGAAACCACGTGGCTCAGACCATCTGGGCTTTGGGTGTGGTGAGTGCTTATAGGGTAGTTTCCACAACACCTGATTTGGGGAAAATGAAGCCTTTTTTCCAATTTAGCTTTGATGTTGGGGGTAAGGAAGAGTGTCCTCTTCCTGAGGGAGTTGTGAGTTGCCTTCTGGCGGGGTGGGGTATCCTCTAGGGATACTGGCCTATTGGGGCCCCAGCACCAAGAGAGGCTGCACTTCTGACCAGCAAGTCATGGGGCCCCAGAAAGGAACTGGGGATTTGGTTCATAGGAGCCCATCAGGAAGGAGCTGGGCCTGGGACCACCCTCCCCTCCCAGCCATGTGGGGAGAATTTCCAGGCAGCTACTTCTGTCCTTGCCCAGCTGTATTCTAAGGCAGCCACTGAGCTGGGAGCTGCTTTTGCTGTGGTTTGGAGCAAGGCTTGCTGCGAGTTGAGGAGTTCTTGCAGATGCCTCCAGCCTTTCTTTTCCCTTGCACATTACTCTCCTCTGTGGATTTCCTGGCATTGGTGTCCAAATCATTGCATCAAAATCATCACAAAGCCAAAACTTTTAACCCTGTCCCGGTGCAGGAGCCTACTCTCAGGCCAGAGCTGCACTGCAAAGTCTGGTTCTCCTGTCTCCTTTGGCTGCTGTGACAAATGACCATAACCGGGTGGCTCAAAGTGAGGGGAATTTATTGTCTTGCAGTTCGGGAGGCCAGCAGAGTGAAGTCCAGATGTCAGCAGGGCTGGTTCCTTCTGGAGGCACTGAGAGAGAATCTGTTCCAGGCCTTTCTCCCAGCTTTGGGTGGCTCCTGGCTGTCCTTAGTGTTCCTTGGGCTACAGATGCAACCCTTTCTGCTCTGTGTCCATCTACACATGGACCTCTACTCCATGTGTGTGTCTCAGTCCAAACCTCCTTCTTTTAAGGACACCAGCCATTGGGCTTAGCCACCCCCTCCATCCAGTATGAGCTCATCTCGACTTGATTTCATCAGCAAAGACCCTGTTTCCAAATAAGGTTTGGTTATATTTACAGGTTCTGGCTGGACATGAATTTGGGGGGAGGGGCACTTTGAGCCCAGTACACCAAGGCTCCCCTGTCTTGTTCCCTGTCATCCTTCCTGTGCTTGGATCCCTACCCCGCCACACACACAGGGAGCTGAGATAAAGCCCCCGCCACCATGCCCCATGACTGCAGTGGCTGCCTGTTCAGTGTCCCGTTCACCTTTTAGAGGTGCAGGTTTGTGTCTTACTCAGTGCAGTTCCCCATTCTGCTGAGAATGGAATTGCTCAGGGGGTGGGGTGGGAGCTTCTAAAAAGTTACTGTGTTTTGGGTCCCTGTGCAGATACAGAGTGTGCTCGGATCTTGGCTTTTGTAGTTTTAAAAGCCCCTGGGAGACTTTATGTAGCTGGGACTATGAAGCAGGGGTGTTGGAAAGGATGCACTTGGGGGATTAACAGAGGCTGCCTTTTCCTGTGGTATGCTGGCTCCACGTAGTCATGGCTGGATATGGCACTGCTAACTGGCTTAGGGTCTGCACAAAGCTCTTGGTCTAAGAAACAGATTTTTTTGCCCATGGAAGGATTTCTGGGAGGTGTCCCTTAGCAGTGGGGGGATTGGAACTATGATCAACAGAGAGAATTCACTGTGAGATTGTAACATTCAGGATGGAAGGTACGAGATCATCTGGCATGCTCTTAGAAGGTCCCAGATCCGTGTCCTTTCCAGGAAGGTCAAGGCAAGCAAGAGGTATTCCACTTCTTGGTAACAGCACTGCTCAGATGGGCTGCTGGCCCAATTCCTTCTTACCTAATGGAATCCTTCGCCACCTACCGCAAGCCTGTGCAGTGACAGTCATCTGGCTGGAAACCAGCTCCAGGCTCACCACTCAGGCAGTACCATGGGTGGAGCCTGAGTTACTGAGCCAGCTGAGCTACTTAGCAGACCCAGGCTGTTTCGGCTGGTTTTTGGAATCAAGGATAAATCCAGGAGCTCCTGGACCCACAGGCTAAAGTCTCTTCTGTGGCTTGGGTGACAATGCCCAAGGCCACATTGCTCCTGCACTGTGCTACCTTTATGGCTATTCCCATCTCTAGAAATTGCTTTCTGCAAACCTGCTGGTGGTGTCCAACCTAGATGGAAAGGGGCCCACAGTCAAGGCCCAGTGAGCCATCTGCTAGGTCCCATGTGCTGAGCCCTACAGTGTTCTCAGTTCCTTTGGGGCCTGGTGGACCCTGTGTGCACAGTGATAAGGACCAGCCTAGCACACTTAGAATTTTGTCTGCTCCAGCATGTGTGAAAAGTGCGCCAGCATTACACCCAGAGAGTGGAGCCGGGCCTTCTGAAGGTGGAGCTGCTCTGTGCAGATGCTGTTGGCAACTCCTTCTGCAGGTGACTGCATGTTCAGGGTCATAGGGTTTGTGCATCCTGATGTTCTTATCCACCTTGTCTGCTTCAGGAGCAGTTACAGGGTAGTCGGCTCTGCCCCAGGGAATAAAACGCAGAGGTAGGCTATTATCTCTGCCCTGGGGAGAGGAAAACCAAACAGTGTGGGGCACTTGGAGGTGGTTTAAAAGCGTGCATCAGGGAGCAGACACATGCAGACCTTTGCTGTCCTCTGTCCAGCGTAGGGTGTAAGGGAAGTTATACTCATTGTGGTTCAGGCAGGTGATTAACACCGGTAAACTCTCCAAAGAAGCAAAATTCCGAATTGAACCTATAGCTTGAAATGTGCTTGCAGGATGGGTAGAGCAGAATGGTGTGGAGACTGGGAGTCCTTGACTTGGTTTTGGACAATGTCCCTGGAAAGACTTCTCCAGGGGACTGACTGGAACCTGGGTCATGGCAGCTCCCAAGATTAGAGCAGAAAAGGAAGTCTACAAGAGGTGTATGCAAGTCATGGAGCATAGCAGGTGCTGCAGGGGAGCTCGCCCACACCGGAGCTCATCCCTGCCCGTGTCCAGAGGACAGTGCCAACCTGGGACCTGCTTGGGGATCTGGAATTTATACCCCTCTGGTGGCATAGCTAGTCACACAGTGCTGCTTGTGGTCCAGGGTCTGCAGGTGGGCTGGTTCCCTGCAATCTCAGCGGAGTTTCCAGGTAGATCTCCATGGCGCAGGCTAGGCAGTCCAAAACCTTTGGTGACATTTGAGTGCATAGAGAATGGGTGTAGACAACACTCAGGCTTGCGGGGCATTGCATGCAGCCAACCTGGTCTTTGCAGGGATCACTGATACCATGCATGGGGGGCTGGTCTTGGGTTTGAAAACAACCAAGAGATGTACTTCCAGGAGGCTGGAAGGATGGGGAAACTAGCAGGAAAGAGAAAAAGCATCCATCCAGTGAGTGCATGCACACACACATGCACAAACTCACAATCCTGGGACAAGTGCTCCTGTGGCCAGCATAGTCCTCAAGAGAGAAGAGCAGAGCTGAAAAGTCAAGGTCAGGAAGCATGAGGCACCCAAACTAGGGATAGGCTCAGGCATCTCCAAAGTGTATCCTGTGGTCCTCAGCAGGGGGCCTGACTGCCTGGGCACAGGCAGGAGAGCTCTGGGTACAGAGCAGGCCAAAGAGGAAGGCTGGGGGCCAGGTCCCACTGGGAATGAATCCTGAGCCAGCTGGCCACATGGAGTCTGCCTTCCATTCCCAGGGCCCCAGGCAAGCCACTGAGGGTGCACAGGCATTAGAATGGCAGTGAGAAGCTCCAGGGGAGTTGGAAAGAGGCAGGCATCTGGGTTCAGAGCCTCTGGACCTGGGGTGGGTGTGGGCACTGGAATTTTAAAACCTTACCGGGTACTTCTGCCTGCCAGTGTTTGCACAGAGCAGTGGTCTCCACCCAGGGCTACCCAAAACATGTTTGATGCTAAAAGAAGACATATGGAGGGTTGCACTTAAATAGAACTTTTAATGAATATCTAGGTATTGAGAATCCTTGGCCAAGTTCTTGTTTTTCTGCTTGGGGTCTGAACAAGAAGTACAGAGGCCATGGTACTGTGGCAATGATGAAGGAGGGGGAAACTGCAGAGTGCTAGCCTTGTATATGAGATTTGCCTGCTGATCCATTAGAGATGACTAAATTAAGTTCTGTCCTTACAGCAAAATGCAAGCAATCACGTACAATAGCTTTGCAGGTTCCTGTGTATGACCTGCAACATGTCTAGGGTATATGGACCTGGGGGACAGTCTGCATGGATCTCACTGTAAACATTGCCAAACTTGTAGCATACATTTTTAGAAAGTCACAGTGCTCAAGTGTCCATTGTGACAAGAGTAGCAACCCAACATCTAGACCAAGAGGCTGTTACCCTAAAACCTCAGGGAAGCGGCCAGTCCTAGCCCTGCCTTGTCCACTCAGGGATCCACTGACCCGGGTAGTTTTATGCTGATGGTTTCCTGGCTTTTCTTCATGTAGTTTTACTACCTCAGTATCCCACTTTAAAAAAATAAAAGCATATTTAAATGCACGCATAGGAAAATAATCCAGAAGGACATCCATCAAAATTCTAGGGTGTATAAAAGGCATGGTGATGCATACCTGTAATCCCAGCACTGTAGGAGGCTGAGGTACAAGAACAGAAAGTTTGAGCCCACCCTGGACAACTTTGCAAGACCCTGTCTCAAACCTCTAAAAAATTATAAGAAAGGGCTGGGGTATAACTCACTGTGAAGACCCTGGTTTCAATCCCCACTACAGAAAAAAAAATCTGGACTGGATAAAATCAAGGGTCATTTGAAAAAATATTTTTTTTTACTTTACATTATTTTCTAAATTTCCTTTGATTAATATGAATGAGCTGTATCATTATTTTAGGTTAAAGGCATTTGGAAGGCTGTGGCGTGGCTCAGTGGTAGAGCAAGTGCAAGGCCTCCAGTTTATTCTTAGCACCCACTCCCAGCAAAAGGGATTTATGTGTGGGCGTGATAGTGCACACCTGTAATTCCAGCTGTTCTAGAGGCTGAGGCAGGAGGATCACAAGTTCTAGGCCGGAATAACAGTAAAATTGTTGGGGAATAAAGTAAATGTAGCTCAGTGGCAGAGTGCTTGCCTAGCATGTGCAAGGCCCTGGATTCAAGTGTAGTATCAAAAAAAGAAAACATTTGGGAGGCAAGTAGAGATTGGAGGAGGGTTTTTTAGGATGGAGAGAGGGTGAGGGGTCAACTCAGGAAGAACACCCCCCACACACACGCTAGGGTAGGGGCTTTAACTGACATTCCCTTGGGTTCTGGGGGCACAGATAAAACACCAGGGAGGATTGTTGCTCCAGGAAGGATTGTTATTTCTCTGTCCTGGACTGTCTTTTATCAGCATTATTGAGATGTAATTCACAACAATAGGTCATCCAGTTAAAGTGTGGTTTTTACTCTGTCACAGACTAAAACTCGTGCATCCGTCACCCAGGTCTGACTTACAGCACCCACAGTGGATGTGGGATTGTCAGATACACTTCCTTGGGTAAACGCAGGAGTTTTCCCAGGGGTGCTGAGGGGCTGGGCTGGGCACTTTGCACTGTATGCTGGACCAGCTTCGTGTGCCTGTGTCCCACGAAGGCCATCAGCCCCTGAAACTTTGTTGGCTTCTTTCAGAGGTTGGCAGACCACACCCACTGTAGGGCAGTCACCTGTTGTAGTAAATAAAGTTTTGTTGGAAGGCAGCCACACCCGCTGGAAACACATCTTGCCTGGCTGCTTTTGTAACACAGCAATGGGAGGAAAGTGTCAGAGAGGTTGCGTCACCCTCACAGCCAAAATCGTTAACTAGCTGACCTTTTACAAAAAAACTTCCTCCTGAGCTCTGTGGCCTGTGGCAGGATGTGGCTGGTGTATTTGTCACCTGGCTACCTGCTCCATACTCTGCAGAAGCAAGCAGGTGACAGGAAGAGATGAGATGTACAGTTCACCCTCCAGGCTGATCCTGAAGTTGCCAGGGACTCAGCCACCTGTCCTCAGCTCTTGAGCCTGTGAGTGAATGCAGATTTCCAGGCAAAGGCCTGACTTTCTATCTTGAAATGTTCCACAGGGAAAGAGCCCCAGAGGCCTCATGAGTATAGTTTCTGGGGCAACATCTGGCTTGTGTTGAGCTTTATTTGCTCTCTAATCTGTAGTCTGAGAAGACTGGATGACATTTCCTGGCACCCTGTTGGGTTGGAACACCTTCCATATACTCAGCAAAGCAAATGGGGTGGGACAGGCTTTGCCAGGCCCCTCTACAGAGACCTTGGCTAGGACCCTCTTCAACAGCTGGTTTTTAACTAAGGGAACAGGACATTTTAGAGGAAAAAGACAAAGGGAAAGTTATTGGGAGAAATGACCTGGGTTTTGGAGCCAGGTGGGGCTGGTTCTAAGCCCCTTCTGTGAGCCTAAGTCTCAGTTTCCCTTTCTGCAAAAGCAGGGTTAATTTCTCAGAGTTGTGCCCAGAGTAAATTTTTCATAAATGAGTCAGCATGTAAAGATTCTTCACACTTGAGATTCTTCACAGTTTCCGCGACCTTGAGACACTGAGTGAAGCTCCCTCACAGGTAGCCACTGTCCAGGAGCTCTTTAGGGAGAAAGGCACGCAGCCTGGGGAGGAAATTTATGTCCCTTTGCCCACTGCGGATGGTCTATTTCCCCTGAGCCCAGCCTGGATGCTGTCTTCCCCCAGGCTGGGTCTGCAGCCCCTCCTCCCCCACCAGACCTACAGTGCAGGGAGCCTGATGGGTTCAACCCAGGAGCTCCAAGGAGGGCAACATGGTTCCTAACCAATCACCACACAGGGCCTAGCACCAAGAGGAACCCTGTCCTTTGATGGACTGTTCTTTTGCCTCCCCGGATGGCCTTGTGCTGATTTGTGTGACCCCATTCAGGTCTCGTGTCCTTGCCAGGGTCCTTGCCATGGGAGGGGATGGGAGACAAGAGGAGGATTGAGAAGAAAGCAAGGAGGGCCACAGGTGTGGAGACTCAAAGAGATGCTAAGGCCATGCTCTGTGTCCAAAGGGCTTGCACAGACTCGAAGAAATCGGAGCCTACAGGGATACTAAGGGAGGAGAGCTGGGGCCCACAACACTAGGAAGACCTCATCATCCATCCTGCAGGTGCAGTGTGGCTTCAGTCATGGGCAATAAGCTGCAAGGTGACAGGGGATCAATGATGAAGTGCTTGATGCCCTGTCAGGAGGAAGGACGGGCGGTAGGGTCCGTCGGGGGCTTCAGATCCCTAGGGTGGTTGTGTGCAGAAGGACTGTGTTGACACTGTAGCTGGAGGGTTTTGGCAGCACAGGGGCTACCTAATTTTGGGGGCCAGAGGCTTAGTGGGCTTGCTCACACGCAGCCCTGTCCTGGCTTCCTGTCCTGCATTTTCTGGGGGTGGGTGTACTTTCCTCGGTAGCCCTCTTAGCAGTAAATCTTCGATCCCCAGACATCGCTGGGAGCAGAAGGCCAGCCTGGCCCTTCCGAGGTGGAAGCCAAGTGCCTAGCACGGAGGTATGATGAGCATCACAGGTCTTGACTCTCAGCTGTGATGTCTTGTCCCCTTGGACCTGTGGGCTCCCTGACAAGGACAAAGGAATAAACAGGGAGGTGGCCTTTGCATTCTGTGTGCCAGTTCTTAAAGGCAAGAGTAAGATAGCCAGGCATGTAGATATATATGTGGTCAGCAAGAGCCTTTCCATACAAAAGGCCTTTCACATCTCTGTCCTTATTTTGTCCTGTACTCTGTGAAGGAGGGATGCAGTTCTATCCTGTTTGGATGGGGAAGGTCTGTGACTTGCCCAAGGTCGCCAGTGGAGTGGCATCACCAGGAATCCAAGGAGACTGATGTTGGCTCAAGGCTGTGAACAGGATCGGGGTTCACAGCTTCAGATCTGTGCTCTGTTCCCTTGGCCAGAGGCTGCTTGTCCTTGAAGAGGCTGGACGGCCCATGCATTCTGTCATAAGGCGAGCCGTTGTGAGGCTCCTCTGGGTGTTTTGGCAGCAACAGCAAAGGGCATAAAAACAAACTTTCCTTTTGACCAGGGAACCTGGTCTCTAGGAATTTTTCTGAAGGAGACAATTAAGGGCACCTCTAAGCATTTGGTTACAAAGTTATTTATCCCTTTCCCCCTTTACTTAAGGAAATGTTAGACATACAGCAGCAGGGGAGTGACTAAGTGAATCACAGCATGGCATGCTCTGCAGGTGACAAACGGTGTTGATTTTTAATTGAAATGTAAAAAGTTCAGATATCTAAGAGGAATCGGGCTTCCTTTTTTGCGAGCATATTATTATTTTCTGAGAGAAGGAAGCGACCTAAGACTGTCTCTAGGGCCGTATTCATCATGATTCTCTGGCGAACAGAACCAATAGGATATAGCGAGAGACACAGAAGATGGGATTTATTATGGAAATTGGCTCACTCAGTTATGGAGGCTGACAAATCCTGCAGTCTGCTGTCTGCAAGCTCAGACCTGGAGGAGCTGGTAGTATGACTCAGTCTGTGTCCAGTGCCCCTAGAACCAGGAGCTGTGATGTCTGGGGGCAGTAGATGGACATCCCTGCTTCAGCAGAGAAGAGTTTCCTTTCTTCTGCCTTTCTGTTCTGTCTGGACCCTCAAAAAGTTGAGTGAAGGCTTTCCCTACTGTGGTGGGGGAATCTAGATCAGGTAGTCTAGATTTGAATGCTCACATCTTCCAGAGACACACTCACAGGCACACCAGAAATTGTGTTGATCAGCTGTCTGGACACCCCATAGCCTAGTCAGGTTGACAGAGGAAATTAGTCACCCCAAAGGCTGAGAAGAGTGACAAAAACTGGAGTAGGTAAGAGCTTGGGTAGAGAATTTTCCTATGAGGAGAAACGCCCCCCATGCCCTGGCCCAACCTGCCCACATAAAGCCTTTGGTTCTAGGTTCTGCTCTCCCAAAATGCCCACACCCTTGCCGCATCCCTGCTGCTCACTTTTCCATGCAAGAATGGAACCCCAAGGATGAGTTGCTTTGCCTTCTTGGGACCATGTTTCTTAAACTAAACTTCTCCAAGGCTAGATTCGTGAAGCAAGGTTGAGCATGTCTAGGTTGTCATCTTGAGTACGTAGGTGGGGGAAAATGGGGATGAGGCCAGGATACCCTCACTCCCAGCTTTCAGTACAGTGTCAGCTTCAGCTCTCAGGAGGCTGAGACAGGAGTATTGCCATGAGTTCAAGGCCAGCCTGGGCTACATAGTGAGTCCAGGCCAGCCTGAACGACATAGTGAAAATGTCAGCTCAGTGCAGCTTCCCAATGCTATTGAAAGTAGAAAGACATTTCCCCTCTGCCCTAGACAGGCAAATGCTCTCCCTACAGGAGAAGGAGTGGGATGCAGTGTCAGGAGCTCTGACCTTGGTATGCGCCCCTTAATGTCCCTTCCCTAGCCTAGCAGCATTATTGACTTCCTTGGGGGAGCTGAGGAGGTTATGATGCTACCAGGCTGGAGGGAAGAAAGGTACCCTTTACCTGGTGGCTGTGAAGATTTCCATATCCTACAGCACCCCACCCCAGACATGACTTTAAGTGGGCATCTTCAAAATGCCCCTGCTCAGCATCCGGCAGTAGGAGCCAAATCTCTGTGGTGGGTCTTCTGACCTGCACGCTCACCCTCTGGCCGGCTTGGCACTGGCCCTGACCTCACCCCTGCCATGATGTCATAGCACAACAGCTCTGCTGTTCCCATAGCAATGGGCTGCCATAGTTAACCACCTAGGGAGCTGCTGGAGGGAGGTGGAGAGCTTTGATCCCAGCCAGCCTGGGTCAGTGGGCCCCTGGGACCCCGGACACCACCTTGGGGTGACTTTTCTCGTATGTGGTGTGAAAGGAGGCTTTTTCTGTGCCTAGCTGTCAGGCAAGGCTCCCAAGAGAGCCTTGGAGATGGGCCGATGAGGGTCTGTAGGACACAAGTCCTGGAGGCCCGTGTGACAGTCCTTGCACCGCAGGGCTCTCCAAGGGCAATTTGGCCTGAGAGGACGAGAGCGGGTGTGAAAAGATGGCAGAAGGGAGCTGGGGGAGTGGGAGGTATGATGGTGTAGCAAGAGGAGCTGCTAATTTGGGGGTCTTAGCCCAGACTCGGGTCTTGGCAGGCAGATAGAGAGATTGTTGGTACCGGTCAGTAAGCTGTGAGCAGCCCACTCAACTTGTTGGTATCCAGACTGTGAGTTTGGGGTCAACCTCAGAGTCTGTCTCTGTGAAGCTACTCAAAGGGGCAACTGAGGCACGATGAGCCTGAGCTTATCCCCCTAGAGGCTGGGTGCTTGGGCACCTCTGCCCTCTAGAGCTGTCCAGTCCTGGAAGGTTGTAAAGAGAAGCTGCAGTGTACAGATTCACAAGCCACACTCCAGGATTTGGGTGGAGATACCTGCTATAGGCCTGGCTGGGCCTCATATTCTGCCATGACATCCCTCCCCCAGGGGGTTCCGATGCTGCCAGCGCAAAACCCAGCTCATCCGCTTTAGTACCTACCACTCTAGAACTCAGCTCAAAGTCAGACAGCGACAAAACCCAGACTTAGGGCAGCACATGGGTGTCATGTATTTTTAGAGACATGGAGTGGAAAATGTTCTTGATGTTTATTTTATCTGGGTGTGGCTTGGATGCCTTCAGTGATGGGTGTCTCCTTACCTACCCAGTGATTCCAAAACAGCCCTGTAGAAAGTGTTTCCCTCACCAGGCCAACCTCTGCCTCCTTGTAATGTGCTCCGGGTCTGTCCCAGTCATCTGGACACACACACAGTGAGTACCTTCCCTCCCCCTGCATGGCTGGCCAAGCATTTGGGCAGTCCTCATGGTGATGGGTGCAGTTGTCACCGCCCCATTTTACAGATGAGGAGACTGAGTTAAGCACCTTGGTTTGGGTCACACAGCTGGTTAGTGTTCTTGACCTCTGCCCCGTGCTGTTCCAGAATTTGTACCCTGAAGCCATCTCTCTGCCCATCTCTGAACAGTCCTGGCTCCTTAGAATGTCCATTCTGTGACTGGTTCTGTCATTCTCCTGAGCTCTGCATCCCTCTGCTCATTCTGGTCATCATCCTGGTCACTCTCTGTCCATTTGAGGCCTCTGGGAAAACACGTCTCCCACTGCCAGAGTCTCCTTTGTCTTTGGTCAAGCTGTCCTTCCCATTAGACTGTAGACATTTCTCATCAGGTTTGTGCCCAGTCATTTCAGCAGTCTTACTGTGATTTTGAAACAGTTATCCTGTGATGATGCCACATGGGCCATTGCCAAAGCATAGACACTCTCATCCTCTCAGAGTCACTGAGATGCACGTCTTGATTTCTCTGCTGTAGATGTTGGCTGAGCCTCGCTATGAGCCAGGCCCACTCTGAGGCCTCAGTGGTGTGCCCTTCTTGGGGACCCAGTGCTCCTGGATGTCATGGGGCTATGTGGGTGAGCCCCTTTTCTGGGCAGTTCTCTGATCTCAGGTAAAGATACCGTTGGCTCCATGGTGGCCACATGTCTCCATCAGCATAATGCACAGCCAGATGAAGGCCTCTCATCTTCCGCATCCCAGGTTCTCCCACACGGTGGCCCTGGGTTGGACTGGGTGAGCTCAAGATGTGCTCCTGCTGTATGTTACCCTGAAGACGGTAAGGTGTGTGAGCTGTCACGTATTCTGAGCTGGAGTCTTGGGGCTGGTTTTCTGTGTCCCCATGGGTCACCAGTCCCCTGTGGGGTCAGCATCTTTGAATTCAGGAGCTTGGGTTTCCAAGGCTCAGTACCACGCCCCTGTGTGCTCTGCCACAACTTCTCACACTTGCTCACATGGGCCCCTGTCCACGGCAGTTTACAACAGGCTGCTGTCCAGGAGGACGAGTCACGAGTGGGGAAGGACAGTGGGAAGCTATAAAAAGTGGACTTGCAAAACCCTATGATATCCCAGGGTCACTTAGTTTAGGGGAACTCTGTTGTATGCATCTGCAAAGCCCTTGAGAGATTCCCTGTGTTATCATCTCAAAGACAACTAAGAGAGTTGTTTGGGTTTTTCTTTAGGTCAAATAATATATATCCTACATACTCTCAAAGGATGGAGAGCTGTCCAACTTTACATGAGACTAAGCTTTAATTGTATAGAAATGTTCCCTTTCTAGCCTACAACTACTGGAAGCTTCATTGTTGGCATGGGGGGAGGTACTGGGGATTGAACCTGGAACCTACACACTGAGCTACATCCCCTCTTCTTTTTTATTTTGAGATAGGGTTTCACTAAGTTTCTTAGGGTGAGCCTGGACTTGTGATCCTCCTGCCTCAGCCTCCCAAAGTGCTGGGATTACAGTCTTGTGCCACTGTATCTGGCTAACGGGAGCCCTTCCATAACTGGTTTTATGTTTCAAAGAAGTGCTGTCTGGGTGACTGGCTTTTGGAGGAAGTCCAAAAAGGAAAGAGGGTACTGTTGTTGCTGTGGAGGGCAAGGTAGCCTCAGGCAGGGGAACGTGTCCCTGGAGGGGGTGGGAAGGGGTGTGAGGCAGTAAGCTGCCTCAGTGCTCCGGCGCCTGGAGCCAGAGATCCTGACTCTGAGTCTCACAGGGAAGCTGGTGAGTGAGCAGGTCCCACACCTGTCCGCAGAGGCTCCATGGGATCCGGCTCAGCCAGGGCCCAGGAACCTGAACTGGGCACAGGTGTGTGTTGCAGGTGGCCATGAACCACATCTGTAGGCTGGCCGGTGAGCACAAGAGAGAGCATTACAGATGGAGGCTGTAGTTGTGGTGCAGGGAGGCAGGTACAGCTGGAGGGTGGGGTAACAGAGAAGCTGATGGGGAAACATGGAGGGCTCGGGTGAGACATGATTGGTGTCCTCAGGGAGCACCTAAGACATGCAGAGCCTTGGGCCCCACACAAGACTGACCTACTGAGTGAGGACTGAGTCTGAACCTGACTTACTGAGATTTAAGCACCATGCCAGACTGTTTTGGAATGTTCTTGAAGGATAAATTACATGAGCTGTAGGGGTGAGTGGTCCACTTGATGGGTGACATGACGTGAGGGTCCTGTGGTGGAGAAGCAGAGGAAGCCACAGGCCCATCCCTTGGTTTAGAACCACCCAAGGCCAACCACCTCTCAAGGATCCAGACAGGCTGGAGGTCAGGCAAAGGTGAGCACCGCTGAGACCTGAGTCCACTCATGCCCCGGAAGTGGCACCCCGCTGTGACTGCTCTGTGGCACCCAGCTGTGACTGCCCTCACTTCCAGGTTAGGAGCGTAGGGCCAGCGGTCCGTAGGCTGGGTTTGAGTCCTTGCTGCAGTGCTTGTGAGCTGTTCGGCCATAGGCAAGTTACTTCACCGCTCTGAGTCTGACCTCATCAGAAGTGAGAAGAGGGCTAAACTGCCCCTCTTCTGGTGAGATCTTTGGACACTGCAAGATGTGCATGGAGTGTGGGAATGAGGGAGACCCCCACAGGTGTGCTGCTGGCCAGGGCTGCACGATTATCAATGCCACATCCAGGCCTATTTGTTCCCATCTTTTCCACATTCATCCCCTGGCTTGGTTAAATAATCTCCAGTCCAAGGGGCATAGGAAAGTGGGTCCCAGCCAGAAGTTGGTATGTGCATGGCCGTGGGAGTCAGGTGGGAAGGAAGGGCAGTGTCTCCATCTCTATGGGCCAGGACACCCCTGGAGACGGAGGAGGCAGCTACATCTTGCCATCATCTTGGGGATGTCACGCTTACTGTCACCCACTGTGTCTAGGATAGGACATGGTTCCTGTTGTGGTGCTTCCTGGGCACCTGAGTGTGCTAGATTCAGTGTCATGCCTGCAGCCAACCACATGGTGAGGGATTAAACCCTGTGACAGTGGTGGTCCCTGAGGGGATCCAGCAGCACCGCTGCTACAGTCAGGGACCTGTGCCTTTGGTATGACTGCTGCCAGTTAGCTGTGGGACTGTCTTCCTGGTAGGAACTGGGGTGGACAGACCACCCCCCGGACAGGCCTGTCCCCAAAGCTCCTAGATGGGCTGTGAGGGCTGGAGTCCTGGCAGGCACACACATAGTTTGTACCATGTCCCACATTAGTGGATCTGGGAGGACAGCACCTTGTCTGTCTTCTAGAAGTGAATAACAGAGGCCGTACATGTCAGCCGCAGGACCTGATGGCCCAAGACTGGGACTCAGTCCCATCTGACCAGAAGCCCCTGTTAACATTGCCTCACAATGTCTCTGATGTGATGCTCGTTGTCCTTGACTCCTCTGGGGCCCACAGCAGCCACTGTCTCTGCCTGGGCTTCTCGGAGGCCCCGGGTTCTCTGCTAGGAGCAGGTGAGAAGGGCTGCGGACTGTCTGGGGGCCGCTCTGTGGAGGGTCTTTTTCAGGGTGGGGCAGGGTCTACATCTGCTGAAAGCTGTCTGAGCAGCTGTCTGGGGTGCTCGCCACAGGCCGGCTTTAGGTGCTGGGGTCACAAGGCTGCAGAAAGCAAGAGAGAGGGCCCAGTGTCCACTCCACATGGCGAGAGGCTCTGGGGCAGACAGGTGACTGTCAACACGGGCTTCCCATCAGTGACTCTGAGGGCGGCTCCATCAGGAAGGAGGCTGTGCTTTCTCCAAGTGGTGAGAGCAGCCGGCAAAAGGACGCCCATCTGCTCTTGGAGACCTGGACGACGTGGGGGTCACTCGCATAATGACATGGGGTGTGGGGGGGTAGGGCCTCTAGGAGCCCACTCAGTCCAGAATGTCCTGCCCAGCACACACAGTTCAGGTGTGTCTGGAGTGGGGACCCCATCTGGAAGCATGACCCTTTCTCTTCCTTGCCCAGTGCCCTGGAGAGACGCTGGGGACCTGGGTGGCAGGCACATGTCCCAGATGGGAGTGTCTCCATGGAGTGTGTGTCCCTGGTCACATCAGGCCCCACAGGCTTTAGTGGCTTCCTTATCAGTACTACCATGATCTTAGAAGGACCTTGATGTCTAGTGTCAAGGACACATCTAAGAGTGTGCAGGGGACCGCCACTACCAAACTGTGGAGGTAGCTATCATTTCCTAAACTTCACCCCAAAGATCTCCACCAAATTAGGGTCATCAGCTGAGCTAGGGACACTTCCTAAGCTTGAGAAGTCACCTGCTAATAAGTGGTGTGAGCCTATTCCCTCCACATGTCTTCCAAGGCAGACAAAGCACCTTCATGGCAACCTAGACCCCCATGCCCACTGTTTGGACATCCCTGGGCCCCTCCCCAGTGGTAGGAAGAGCTCTGTCCTTGACAGGTGACACCTGGATTTGAACCCAGTGCTTCTGGGGGCTGGGAAAGATACTCAGCTTCTTCAAGTTTCCATCCCTTTGTGTGGACACATGCTCCCATTTCTCCTTAGGATAGACTGAGTGGAATTGAGAATTGCTTGGTCTTATGCTAAGTCTGTTTACCTCTCTCCCTCTTTCTCTTTCTTTCTGTGGTGGTGGTGGTGGTGGTACTGGTGATTGAACCTAGGGCCTTTGCACTGACCTACATCACCAGCTCTTTTTTATTTTGAGACAGGGTCTTGCCAAATCACTAAATTGCCCAGGATAAACTAAAACTTGCAATCCTCCTGCCTCAGCCTCCCCCAGTGTTGGGATCATAGGAAGGCACCGCCATGCCCAACTTGTTTACCTTTTAGAGAAACTGCCAGACTGTTTTCCAAAGCAGGGCTGCACCATTTTACATTCCCACCAACACTGTGAGGTGGATCCAATTTTTCCACCTCCTCGGCAACACTTGTTCCTCTCTGCCTTTTAAATTCCAGCTGTCCCAGTGGGTGTGACCCGTGGGTGTGACCAGTGAAGTGTGAAGTGGTGTCTCACCACAGCCTCAGGCTGCGTTTCCCTTGTGAATGTGGGGTTGGACACCTCTTTTATGTGCCATCTTAACTGCACATCTGCCTTCTTTGATGGAATGTCTATTTAAATTTCTTGCCCATTTCAAAATTAGATTATTTGTCTGCTCATTGAGTTGTAACCCTTATTGAGTTGTAAGAGTTGTTTAAATATTCTGGATTGGAGTCTTTTATTGGATGTGAGGTCTGCAAATATCACCTTAGCCTGTGCCTTTATTTTCACTTTATCAACAGTACCTTTTGAAGCACGAAGGTTTGAGTTTTGTTGGTATCCATCTTATCCATTTCCCCTTTTATTGTTTGAGCTTTGGGTATTAGATTCAAGACCTCTTTGCCTAAGCAAAGGTGATAAATAAACACCCATGCTTCCTTCTAAGCATGTAGGTCTTATATGAAGGCCTACAATCTGTTGTGAGTCAGTTTTTGTATATGATGTAAAGGTTCAAATTCTGTTTTGTTTTGTTTTTTTGCATGTAGATATTCAACTGTCACAGGACTATTTGTTGAAAAAACAAAGAACAAAGAACAAAGGGCTCTTCTTTCCCCCATCAAATTGCTGTGTCACCTTTGTCAGAAATCTGAATCACTGGGCTGAATGTCCCAGCTTCCTTCCATCCTGTCCTCTTGCTCCACATGGTGATGGGCAGACTGGCAGAGTATAACCTTAGCTGTTCTAAGTGTGTGATTCTGAGTGCATGCTCTGCTTGACCAAGAAGTGCAAAGACTTCCCACCAGAAGATGGGCATCCAAGCTGGTGGCAGCATCAGCTACCACAGCCAGTCAAAGGCACTGTGGTCTACTCAAGTAGAAAGGGCCTGTCTTCCTTTGGAAGCTATGTGATCTGGCTGAGATAGTCTCATCTTTCACTGCTTCAGTTTCTCTGTCTGATAGTAGCACCTTACCTTCCACGATTACTATAAAAGCTGAGCTAAGAGGTAAGCAGAGCTCAGAGGATAGACCAGGCAGGCACTGCCAGCAGTGGTATGGATGTGGCGCTGTTTTCTGGCTGCTGTGACACTTTTTGGCTTAAATTGTCCTGGGTCTACATGGACTGAAAAGGAAGGTGATGTTCTAGGAATTAAGATGTAGTTTGTATGTGCACTGATGCACCATGATGAATGTAATCCTTGTGGAAGGCAAACATGTGCTAAAGGGGCCAGGGATATAGCTCAGCGGCACAGTGCTTGCCTGGCAGGCGCAAGGTCCTGAGTTCGATTCTAAGTACCCCCAAAAAACGTGCTAATAAAAATTAAAACTTAAAAAACGGGTGGGGGCAACCAAGGAACACTCCACATGGACCCCCAGCCCCCAGGAAGCAGCTGCCTCAGCTCACAAACCTGGCTGGTTCTGACGTTAGTTCCTGGGGACAACAAACATGATTTATACCCTTTCAGGGAAATGTACCTCCTCACCCGGGCCCTTCCTGATGCCAGGCCCAGCAGGAGTGCCCTAACAGTCACACAAGCGAAGGGTAGGGAACCATGGAATGAGATGCAGCACTCGTATATCTTCCCTGTTTGCTTTGTATTGAGTTCAAGAACCAAACACGCGTGCACACACACACACTTCCACACACACCCCTGCTCACACGGGCATGCCTACAGATGCATGCTTGCACACCCTGGCTGGCAGGCTCCTCCTCCCTCTGCCCCTTCCGTTTTCTGTTTGTAAGCCACTCTCTGGTTCCAGAGGCAGGGCTTCCTCTTCTGCCTGGCCTTGCCCTCCCCCATGGCTGTCTGCAGGTGTTCTGCTGCGTGCTCCCACCCCCACCTCCACCCTAACTTGCCTCCTGGGGTGGGGTTCTCAGCCTCAGTGCTGTTGGCATTTTAGGCCAGATCATTCTTTGTTGTGGAGCTGACTAGGGCATTGTAGGGTCTTTGGCAGTAGGCCTGGCTTCTGCCCAGCCACAGCCAGTAGCAGTTCCCTGTTCTAGTCACTAGGACAAGAACCTCCCCAGACACTGCTGCATGTGCCCTGAGAAGCAAGGCCACGCCTCATTGAATACAGTTGCCCCACAGGCTCTTGTCAAAGGTGTGCCACGTGGAGACAGGGAATGGGCCCTGGGGACAAAGTGTGTCCCTACCCTGAGAATCCCATGTGCACTTGTCCCCAGGGCCTGGTTCTCTCTCTGCGGGACACTCTGGGAGGCAGTGTGTGTCCTCCTGTCCTTTTAGGTTTGCTGTGGCATGGTGGTGACACCTGTGGCTCCCCAGACCCTGCAACCCTGGAACCCTCCACTTTGGGCTGAGCCCCTTTCTCTCAGAAGCTGTGTCTCCAGAGCTTGAAGAAATGCAGAGAGAAACAGAGCAAGCTGTACATCCCAGCCTCGCCCCTGATGACAGAGCCTCGGCTCTGAGGCAGAAGTCCATGTTGCTGCAGGCCAGAGTCAAAGGAGCTGTTGCTCTACAGAGAAGACCCGACAAGCAACAGCGGAGAAGCCAGCAACTGCAGCACCGGCCCAAGGAGTTACAGGCAGACCACCATGAGGCCCGACCCCAGCAAGTCAGACACCTGCAGCCCCTGAATTTAGCCCATCTATGGGGTGGGGCTGCAAGGTGGGCAGTGGGAAATGAATACCACTCAGAAAAGCCCATCTTGCGAAAAGCAGCAAGATACCCTGGGGGCAGGCAGAAGCACAAAGAACCCCTTAGAGAGGAGAGGAGTCGCAGGGAAGTGCCATCCAGACAACAAACCTGGCACATCGATTCCCTGAAGAAAGCAACGGGCTCAGAGAGACGGGGGGCTGCCCGAGCACAGTGTCTGAGTCCCCCTGAGAAGAGTAAAGGGAAGTGGGCTCCTTCACACCAGACCAGTGGTGGCCGCCAGCTTGTGGAGAGTCGGGTGGGCAGAAGGACTGACCTTGAAAAGCTGAATCCACTCTTGGCCACTGCAGGGGAAACCAAGTTCCTGGAAGGAAAAGAGGAGAGAGTCCCCAAGGGGATGTGGCACTTGGGAAAGGGGCTGAGAAACAACACAGAGGACCAGAGTCCAGAGGGCAAACTGGAGGACCTAGAACAGCTGTGGCTGGTCAGCTCCACCCACAAAAAGGGAGCCATGCCCTTGGTGTCTCCGCACCAGTGTGGTGACAAGGATGATTGGCAGAAAGGGCTCGAGTCCGTCTTGGAGGAGTTGTTTAATACGAGCAGAAAGCTGAAGGAACACCTGACTTGGCAACTTGAACAGAGGTCCTTGGTAGACCAGAACCCCGCTGGAGAGCAGGTCTTCTCAGAGAGCCAGGAACCAAGTAGTGACACCCCTGGAGAGGAGGGCACAGGGCACTCAGGAACTGCACCTGCTGCAGAAGTGGAGTCCCCCTGGACAGCATCGCAGTACAGTTTGCTACAGTTACCAAGCCAGGCTGAGAGCGCTAAAGACCATCATTTGGCGCCACCCACACCCAAGAGTGAAAGTCAGACACTGCCTCCTGAGGATGGAGTGTCTGTGAGCAGAGAGGACTCAATCCTGCAAAGCCCCAAACCCAGCCCCGAGCCACCCAAGCCAGCCACACTGGTAGAGGGCTTGCCTCTACCTTACCCACAGGAACAGCCAGACCAGGCGGACTGCAGGACATCAAGGCAAGAGAAGAAGACAGGGGTGGAGGGGAGAAGGCAGAAGAGGCTGCTGGAGCAGACAGAGCACCCAAATATGAGCTTGGAAATCCACTACAAGGCTGAGCTGGAGGAGGAGCGGCGGGCGCGGAGGAGGACTCGCCTGGCCCTTCTGAAGTCCTACCCCACAGGGGTCCCCACCAGGAAACCAGGACCTGTACCCAGAACCCACTCCCCTTTGTGTAGCAGCAGCATCGATGAGGAAAAGCACAATGAGATGGTCCGTGACTTCCAACGGCGGATCTTAGAGCAAAACAAGCTGCATGAGCAGTTTCTACAAAAAGCCAGGAAGCGTTTGCAAGAGTTTCAGAAAGCATGGTAAAGGTGAGAGCCCCGCCTGCAATAAATACATCCCTGACCAGGTCTGTGCAGGCGTCCTGTCCTCCCAAGCCCTTAGGCCTGTGTACCCCTGGTGGCCTGCAGTCACACAAAAATAGGGCCCCGTGTGGGATTCAGGGAGCAGGTCTAGACAGAGTACCACAGGCACATCTCCCAGAGGGGCGTCTCTTTTCATATGCTACAGGTCCACTTGGAAACTACAGGTAAATTCGGCTCTTCAGATGTTTTTAAATAAACACTTTCAGGGATATCTGAGGTCAGATGGGCACAGTCTTAAAAGATTCATCATTTATTGCTTAGCGCTGGCTGAGACATTGGCAGAGAAATTACACTAAAACCTCTCTCAGCCTTTCAAATGACAGAACCAACACTGTCTAATAGCATACATCTTAACACATTCTTATAAGCTTATGGGAAAGGGGAGAGAAGGGCGACTCCAGCTGAGCGATGTAACTTCCTCTGAGTAGACAGCATAGGGGACCTGGGTGTTACTTCAGTGTGTAGATGCCCCTGACCCAGCATCCAGGGAAGTCATGGAGACCCCACACTGGGTAGGTTTTTTGGGGGTGTTTTGGGGGGGTGTCTGCCAAGTATAGATTTAGTGACAGGGACAGGGGTCCACACACTTTCTGCAAAGAGCCAGAGAATATATGTATAGCTTTGTCAGCTGGCCCCTGACAACGGCCTAATTCTTACTCTCTCTGCTGGAAACTGCCATGAAGAACATGGAAACCAGGAGCATGACCAAGTGTGTAAAAGACTTGATTTATAGAAACTGATGCTGGAGAGATATGGGTCTTGGACCACAGCTTGTTGACCCCACACTGGGCTAGTTCCTGAGCCTGGATCCCTTCCTTCTTCCCCCGCATCCCTCCTTATCTCCCAAGGACTCAGATTTCTTAACTCGGATCAGCCATCTTTGGCCACGACACACTGGTATCATTGGTCAATGAATGACCTGATTTATTCTGTGTATATTTTGTAGATGATATGATGAACAGCTGTGAGCCCACTACCCAAACTGGAGATCCAGGATGTTTCCTGAAAACCATATATTTGGCCACCCAACTATCTGTGCTTTTCCTTTTCTATACCCCTATCTTCTCAGATACAAAGCTGGGAGTGTGGATTATCTCTACCCGTTACCATACATACACATACCACACACTAGTGTTCAGTGTACCTGGTTTGAATTGTATAAGAAAGATCATGCACTTTGTGTGATCTTTTGGGAGATTTTCTTTTCTGTTTTGGCCTCCACACAGCTCCTGGCATCTGTCCCATCATGCCAAGGCCCACTTCCTCATTTTCCCTGGGTGGGATACTGGAGGTGGCTGTCCCACCCTCCTTTTTAGGACCAGGGCTTATTTTGTCTTGTACCTTGGTTTTAAAAAGAGAACCAAATCCATAATGCATTGAATCAAAAGTCTGGGTGCCAAAAAAATGCATTTGTGGTTTAATCCCAACTTTGGGCACCAATTTTTAAGTGCTTCTGGGAGTTTTGAACACCACAGGTGGGATGTGGGTGTGGGAACAATTCATCACACCTTCTCTTCATCTCTACCCTTTTTGCCTGGAAGAGGCTGATCTCTGCCTCTAAAATTTGTCATGTACAAATCCTGAGTGCCAGGAACTGTCCCAAGGAGAACCACAATGCTCATGGTCTGTGGAGGTTACAGGTAATAAGTAAAGCTCATAATGACACCTGGGGAGGGACAGAGCTACAGTGAGGTGCTGGATGCTGACCCAGAGCGTGGCACTGAGAAACCCGATGGACACTCTGTGATAATGCCTTGTCGAGAAGGCAGAGGGTGCGGTGGCCATGATGGAACAGGCAGTGTGTAACTGAGGTCCTCCTGACTTAACCTGAAACCACAGCCTCAGAAATGGATGAACCTTGCTGGGAGTAAGCTGTTTTTGTTTCCATTTCCAAAGGTAGTATTTGTGGCCCGTGTCTTCTAAGTGAGGAATTGCCCCTTCTCGGCCACACTGGAGCTAAAAGTAGGTGTGGAGATGGATGGGCAGCAAGACATGGTGAATGGTGACTCATCTTTGCCCCGACAATCACACCCACACTGTCCCCTGGCAGCAGGGTGAGACACCCTGGCCTTTCCTACCCGTCTCTGAGAAGGCTAAGAAGGATGGGCTAGCATCGGCTAGGGCCCCTGGAGTGGTACTAAATCAGCCCCTCAGGACTCCACCCAGAAAACCCTGATAGCCGTCCAGAGATACTCTGGGGAGATGTCATGGGCAACTTCCTGTCCCATTCCCAGAGGCCTGGGAGTCCCAGCAGACCCTCCCAATCATCCTGAAATGGCTGGACAGTGGTGCACAGGACTCTGGGGCAGGCTTGAGCCTCCCAGGCCCTCCATTTCATGCAGTCAGCAGCCTCCATGAGGAGGCAGTGCAGTCGTATAGTAAGAATACAGGCTCTGCCACCTATGGTGGCTTGATGACTTGGGCAAGGTGTCAATGTGTCTGTGTTTCCTCCAGAGCTGTGACTCTCCACCTCTACCCTTGTGCCTAGGTTCCAGCTGTCTCTCCCATGCCACCTAACTACACAGAAGTAACAGGACCCATAGGAGGCTAGGCTGCCAGGCTTGGGAGTCTAGTTTGGGTCCATACCCAGCCCTGAAGCTGTCTGCCCTCACCAGCCTCTGCAGGGCTGGGAAATGGGAGGCAATGCCACTGGAAGGGCACAGAGCCTCCCAAAGTTCTGTACAGAGCACTTCCCAGTGGTGGAGAGGCTCAGACGTGGAGGATGTGTCTCCCTCCTCCTCAAGCACTTTCAGGCCCTCCCCATGGGTATCCCTGGAACACTGTGTGTTATAGAGTGTTCCATGGGTTCTTTGCATCTGCCCTCACATTTAGGGGACAGAGTCCCCATTCCCAGCTCAGCATTTATTAGGACCCTGGTCATTGGTCACTTCCTTGGATCTCTGCTTCATGGCTCATTCTCCCCAAACTACAGGGACTGAGCCCCACTGCTTTTGAATGTGGCCTCACGGGTGTAGGCTGCTCCCCTTCCCCACCCAGCCCCATTTGTGGCTAGAAGACCCATGCCAGGATCCAGGACCTCAGATACACATGAGGATGAGCAAGTAGAGTTTTTAAAGTTGACTGGGACCCTCTCTGACCTGCAGGAGTTCCTCCAATGAGCAGGAAAATGGCAATGACATCAGGACAAGGCCTCTGAAAAGAGGTAGGGAGTGTCTGATCTGCAGCCAGCATTCTGGAGAATGGAAGGCGATTTGTATCCCCAGAGCAGCCCCTGGGACAGTCCAGCTAGAGACAGTGGGCTGCACTGACAGGGTGCAGGAACAGGGCCACAGTGCCCCCATCCTGGTTCTCCCCTCCTCGGAGCCTGGGAGCATCGTGGGCCCTGGAATTCCAGCCTTCACATCCCTGATTCTTCACATCCCGCATGCCTTAGGGTCCCACACGCGGGGCATGGCTGGCAAATTGTCACCATTGACCAGGCCTGAAACAAGAGTCCAAGGGTCCAGCCCTTCTGGTTTGCTCCTCAAAATGAGTCAGTGATGAGGAATGGGGGACCGCCCAGGGTCACCCAGCCCTCAGCAGCAGTAGAGGAAAGGACCCTTGTTAGCCACCTGTGCTTCTGAGCTGCCTCCCACTCCTCTCCGCAGCCCATGGGCATCAAGGGGTTGGAAAGGACCAGTGGGAGTTCCCTGAGTGCCCTCTGTGCTTACTCTGCCTCCTGCCCACGCCCACTGGGCTCCAAGCTGGGGTTTGCAGGACTGAGCTTGGCTCCTGCAAGGGCTCTTGGCGGAGAAACTGCAGAGCACAGTTCCCTCCACAAAGCCGCACTGTTCTCAGCAAACCCTCCCAGGAGCGGGAGGCATTTTTTTCAAATGATTCAGCAGCACGTGAATGGGAAGGGCCAAGCCTGAGGCTCTGGCAGGAGAGCTCGCTGGCCCACAGGGAGAGAGGGAGGGTGGCAAGGCATGGGTCGGGGTCCCACCAGGGACAGAGGGTAGGGGCAGGATCCTAGGGGCCAGAAAGGCAGCAGGAAGGCTGGGCAAGGAGGCTGAGGCTTTTCTCTGCACAGCTGAATCACTCCCAGGGGGAGCTAAAGCAAATGGGCAGGAAATGGAGATGGGAGAGCTGGTCTCCATGGAGACGGGCATCCAGTGGACAGCTACTCACGTGTGCAATAGAATCTTGAGCAGCCAGGCAGGCCTGGCACATTGAGCAGCCAGGGGCCAGCTCGTGGGTGGTCTGGCCCAGAGTTGTGTGTGCTGCTTGCTGTCCCCTGATTCATGCCCGGCACCCCCTTCTCTCTTGCTGATCTACCCTCTCCCCTTTTACCCCAAACCTATCTGCTTAAGCAGTTCTCACTCCAGGCCTAAGCGACATGGCCAAGTCTTCTCCTCCCCTGGGCAGGCACAGCCCTGCCCCAAAGCTGGGGCTCTGTTTGGCTCTTCCCAGGAGCCCAGTCTGCTCCTTTCCCCACTCCTCCCCAACCCCCTGGGGCTGGAGAGGGTTTGGGGGTCCTGCAGGAAGGTCTGGTCTCTCTCAGCTGCTTCAGGAAGGGAAGCAGCCCTGGCCCCCGCCCACCATCACAGGGCTGTTTTTAATTACTAAGTGGACGGCCCATTTTTAGTCTCTTTTCCCTAAAAGGAGTGGACTTGGAGGTCTTTTGCTCTGTGGAACCAGAGACTGGCATGGAGGGGTTAGGGGAGGGCAGAGCTCAGTGCTCAGGGAGAGCCCCCTAACTGTCCACCAGTGCACCTTGAGGGGACAGCATAGCCAGAGGTGGCAAGTTGAGTTGCATATGCCTGCGGACTCCAGGCCACCAAACCTGTGTGCTGGTGCTTTGCACTTCTAACACCTGCCATTATTGGTTCCTGCCTGTGTCCTGTGTCCTCCCCAGCTCTCAAGAAAGCCATGGCCTTGGCACCTGAGGACCCAGGGTAGATCTCAGACACAAAGCCCGCTTTCCTGGTTACCATCTGCCTGTCCTAGCAGCACTCACAGCCATCTCTGCCCCTTCAGTCAGCAAGGTCAGCCCGTCCCAGCAAGGTGGGGTCGTCTCACTATGCCTCACATCACAGCCCAGGGAGGTGATTCAATTACACACCCCAGTCAGATCACATAGCCACCTGAGCCCGAATATGTAATTAACCCTCTTATTGCAGCTGTCCCAGGGCAAAGCCATGGGCTATGTGGCTGGACTTCTGTCTCTAGCAGAGGGTACAGATACCAGAAGTGGGGAAACAGTGCCCCAGACTCAGACCTCAAGAGTTCATGGGACCCTCAGGTCCACTCTCCAAAAAAGGTAGAGCTTTGGCCAAATTAACCCAAATTCAGGGGTCAAGCAGCTTTGGCCAGATCAAGCAGCTACAAAGTATAATGTCCATCTGAAAGAGCCAAGAGACTGATCCCAAGTGGTTGCTACAGGGTCTAGTTATAGATGGTAATGGGCCTCTGCTACCTATGTGTGATTTGAGGGTGTGGATGGCAAGGCACATGGAACCCCCTTGTCTGCAGAGTTTAGACAGTATGCACCACCTGTAGATGCCCAGCATGCTCACCAGGAGGGAGTAGAGGTTGGGTTTTGTCTGGGAGAGAGCACTGTTCTTTTTCAGTTCCTTCGAAATGATCTGCATGGGAATTCTACCCAGGGACAAGGAAATGGGCCACTCACCTTGGGAGGACCCCAAGTTGGGCTGGCCCCAGGACAGCCACAGCCACAGGTGGTCAGTAGGGTCTTTGGCAAATGTGCTGAGATACTGAAGACCCCCCATCCCAAGCTGGAGTGGGGGGACCACTCTGATTCAAGCAGTTGAATCAGAGAGTGCTTTCCCCAGGAGAGAGATACTCATGGGTACCCCTCCCAGAGTACAGCTGGAGCCCACAGAAGAGGACGGATGGGCTGGGGAGATGCCTGCTGGTGACCAAGAGCAAATCCCCCCACCTTATTCACTGCACACACAGACACGGATGACCCAGTGCTGGATTTTCACTTTGTATTTAGAAGAATATTTCTGAGTCCTGGGGATCCCTGTACCATACCTGGCAGACATTCAGTTTTAAAGGGCTGGGGCCAGGGCCACAGAATTAGCATGGAGTCCATTGGGGTGAGGACATAAATGTCTAGATCTCAGATCTTACATCCCCAGCCTCCCCTGTGTTCCTGGGCTGGCAGAGTGGCCCAAGTGGAGACTGTCCCATGGAATTTGTTTACATGCAGCGGAGAGGCGCAGCCAGATGTTGAGAGAACCGGACACCCTTCATAAATCCCAAGTGAGACTTGCTTTATTTTCCCCAGGAACTTCCATGGGGCTTCTAGAGATACAGTATGATCCAAAAGGTGTTGGTGTGTGTCTTCAGCACACAACGGGCCACGTGTGGGTGGTGGCCAAGGGGATCATTAGGAAGGAGAACAAGAGGAGCTGTGGGATCTTGGGAGATTCAGGTTGGAATCTGTTGCATGTGCTGTGTCCCCCAGTGGACCCTCAGCCACAGCGTGTGCTGATGGCACCCAGGGTTTCCAGCACCCGCTTATATTCGCCCCCCTCTCAGGACAAAAGCAGGAAGGTCCCAGTCTCTTGTTAAGTTTTCCTGGGCAGTTGTCATTCTCAGCATCTGAACACGGCCTGTCCTCCCTGGATTGTCTTCTGTGACCTTGCCTTTCCACCCACCCAGTTCTTTTTCATCCCCACGCTGGCTGGGTACAGTGGGGATTGTTTTTGCAGGCTCCTCAAAGGGGGAAGTGACATCATGTGGTGTCCTCAACCCGCAGGAGGGGGGCAGGGGCTCTGCGGTTGTGTGTGCTTTGAATTTAGTCTATGGCTGTGCATTCCAGTAGCCAGCATCTGGCAGGGAATTCATCAGCCAGTGTATCACCCTCGATCTTAAACCCAGATGTTGTGTTAACAGCAGAGGGGAATGAAGAAAAAGCAAAATCCGAGCTGTTCTGGGGGAAGCCAAGGTTTGCAGGGCACAAAACAGGACAGGAGTCTTTACAGAGATTTCCCCTCCCACGCTGCCTCCTGTTCCTTGAGTGGGGGCAGGGAGCAGGGCAGCCCACTTGAGGGGCATGGACAGGACATGGGCTGACTCCAGCCTGGCGCCTGACAGCAGGCTCGGTAGGGGTCTAGTTAACACGTTCTGGGTTTTAATTCTCCCCAGATTCTTTGGGTCTCTTTGTGCTTCCCGAGCCCTATTCTTTAAATGACCTGAGACTCAGGACTTCCTTCCTGGAGTGGCCCCCATCCCTCTGCAACCTTGGAATCCATGCTGGAGCTCATGCTGGTGACCATCGCCATGCACATGGTGTGCTCTGGAGAGCTCTGCCACCTTCCCTCTTTATCAATAGAAACTGGGCTTCCTTGTTTTCTGTCTGTCTGTCTGTCCTTTGCCTGGATTGAGTGCCCCTCCAAAGCCATGTCTATTGATCTGCCCCACACCTGTTTCCATGTGCTGCTCCTTTAGGGAACAGCCCAGATAGATACAGGTGCCTGATGCGCTGAGCAGGTCAGCTGTGAGATTCCAGTTCTGAGCAGGTCAGCCCAGCCTCTCTCCTCCATCTGTCTAGGGGAGAGTGTCAGTGTTTTGGGGGAGAGTCTCACAGAGCTGATTCTTCTCTGCCTCTTTTTTTCCCCCTTGTGGTCCTGAGAGTTGAACCTAGGGCTTCTGCACTGAGCTACATCCTCAGCCCTTTTTAAATTTTTATTTTTATTTTGAGACAGAATTTTGCTAAATTGCCCAGGTTGGGCTTGAACTTGCAATCCTCCTGCATCAGCCTCCTAGAGTGCTGGGATTATAGGTGTGCACCACCATGCCTGGTTTCTTCTTTGCCTCTCTTGATCATCTTCTTTCCTTCATAATCTTTCATTCTGTAAAAGGGATTGACGTCCCTCCCAGAATTCAGAGTCTCCAAAGGATGAATTCTGAGTCTCCAGGGACAGATAAAAGCAACCCAGTTAGAAGTTAGAAGATGGAGATTCTTGCGATATCGGCACTCCTGTCCCTCCTCTGCTTCCCTGCAAGCTTCTGGCAGGCTCTGGTAACTTTCTAGTCTCAGTCTCATAAGTCTGCCCAAACCCTCCACTCAACCAGTCTCTTCTTTTCTGACAATTTTAAAAAGGAAAGAGGGTGATCTGCAGCCCACCCCAAAGCAGACAAGCTGGCTAGCAAGCTGCCTCCAACCTGGCCCTGGGAGTCCACTTGGCACATGGCCAGGACTGCGTCCCTCTGTGCCTGGGTAGCGGGACACTGCTTTGCAGATCCCTGACCTGCAGGAACAGGAGAATTGTCCCTGTCTCTCTGATGTCTAAGATCACATAGCTGGAAAGCAGCTAATGAGGATTCATCCCTGAAACATCTCTTTTACATAAGGACCCAGACTCACATGGGAGCATTTTGTAAGTAAACAATGCTTGGCCCTTAATGCATGGCAGTGTGACCTTTTGGTTGTTTCAGAGTGAGTTCTGATTGCAGTGGTGCATTTATTGTGCACCTTTATGGATTAAGCATTGCGCAGTGTATGGACCACCGGAAAGCAGTTCTAAGTTTCCAAAACAGTCAGAGTTAGGTGGATGGCTCTATCTGGCCTGGGCTGGTTGCTCTTGCATGGATTACTGTGTGACATAAAGAGCAAACTTTTGACAAAGTCCTCTGGCCTGCTTACCAATTTGCATAAACATGGTTTTGTGCAGCATTGCAATAAGACACATAGATTAATCAGGTACATAGTAAGAGGAACCAGTGACAAACCTCACGTGGGCCACCAGCTTGAGGCTGTCAGGCTCAGCCCTGTTCAGCCAGGCTGTTCTACAGCTAGTGTGTAGCTTCTACCTTTTAGGACCTCCTGGATCCCTAGGCAGACACCTGTATAGGTGTTTGCAGCAGAATGGACGAGAGACAAAGAATATTCCAAGTGCTGCTAGAGGACAGACTTTCCCAAAGAAAGATATGAAAGGGCTATTTTTGCTCTGTCTTGAAGGATAAAATAGAAGTTTTCCAGGCAGGGAGGGAGAGTGGCATTTTGGGCAGAAGAAACTTGCCTGCTTACAGGTGTGGACACACTTGTGCATGTTCAAGGAAGGGTAGTGGTCGGCTTTGGGAGAACAGCAAAAACTGGGTTAGGGATTGTTGGGCATGGACAGCCCAGGTTATTGGCTGGCACTGGGTTGCAAAGAGTCTCATATTTTAAAGAAAAGCAATAGGTAGCCAAGGAGGATGTTTGAGTTGGAAGGAACATGACTATAAAAAGACAACTGGTAGCAGTGTTTGAGAGGGTGGTGTGGGGACTCGGGCATGGCGTATCTGTCTTGAGTGGTCTGTCAGGTGGCTTTCCCCATTCTTTTCAGGGTAAGGCCTGGCCTTGCCTGGAAAACAGGAACCTGCAGCCTGGACCAGTGCAGCAGCTCTAACAGAAGCAGAAATGGGGCTTGGGCCCCTATGGGGCCTTGCATTGTGGTATGGGATGCGGAAGAGGCTGGGATCCAGACCACATTTCTGGGGTCAAAAGGATGGATGCAGAAGGGGCTCCCACGTGCCAGACCTCCCTGATTCTGTGGGATAAGACATCTGTGGCCAGGAGTTTCCAAGAGACCTGAGCCGACCACTTGGATGGGGGAGGCTCCTCTGCGTCTGGCATGATCTCCTCTTGAATCACTCTGTTTTGCTCGTATGCACAATAACTTGCTCGATGTGACCCGCACACTACATTTGGGAAAGCAAAGCTTTTAAAGCCATTAAAGCAGGCCATGCCACTAGCACATAACCTCAAAGGGAAGAGAAGAGGACCCTGCCCCTGTGACATGAACTGCTGACTCTTGTCGTCAGATTACCAAGGAAATAACATAGTCCTGGCTTAATTGCTTATAGAAAGCTTGTGGAGCATGACCTGTCAGCAGCCTCAGTCTCCAGAACATGCTGGAACCTCCTGGGCCCTCTTCTCCTACTCCTCATCTTTACTTCTGGTTCAAGGTGCTCCTTCTGTCTGGCCTCCTTCCTCAGTGTCTGTCCCTTGGTTTTGCCAGTCTTGCTTGCAGCATTTCTTAACTCAGTGTGTGCCCCATGAATTACGACACTCTGACCCAGCTCTGGCCTGCCTCACATAAAGGTGTGTTGCTCTAAAGAATCCTCCTCTGTAGGACATTTTCCAGGGAAACTTTTAGGACAGGTTGTAGAGGTGGGCAGCTGGATAGACCCCATACCTAATGTGCTGACACCCTTTTAAGGTAGGCTACTCCTCTGCTGTCAGCTCAGAATAAGCCTGTTTGCTAGTACCCTGTGGATGAGGGTGGCAGGAATGTCCCCACCCCTATCTGAAGAGCAGGGCTGAACACCAGGTCGTTGGTTTATCTGCCGCCCCACATATCAACACATACTCTTCAGTGGGAATGAAAGCAAGCCCTTGAAGCTTGCAGTCAGCAAACAGCTTCCGGGTTAAATCAGTGGCTTTGCCTGTGGCTGAGGAGCAGCCTGGACTCGCAGGAGGGACTCTGAGCCCCTGTTTTGGACTTCAGGAATCAAGAAGGATTCTCACTGGAGAACCAAGGATAGAGAAGGGGCCTTTACACCTCCTCTCCCAGCTCGTGGAGTCAGCGTCATCCAGCCCCTCATTTCACAGCTGGGGTGAAGGGTGGGTTCTTCTTCCCCAGGGGCCCCCAGCCCTAGCAGAGCCCAGATGATCTTCTGGGAACACCCCTCATCTCTGTGTCTTTGTGTTTTGCAGTGATCAGGGCCAAAGCAGTCAGTGAGAAGGAGGTGGACTCCGGGAACGACATCTATGGCAACCCCATCAAGAGGATTCAGTACGAGATTAAGCAGATAAAGGTAACAATGTGGGGTTGGACAGACTCCAGCCAAGGCCTGGGTCTCCTTGACTCAATCCCATAGGCTATACAGCAAAAAGTAAGGTTGTCAGGCTGTGACCAGGTCCCATTCTCTTTAATCCGTAAGTGCCTGGATAGCTGAGAGGAAATGGTATATCCCTGGTGACTTCAGTCCTCTCAGAACTGTGTTTATTTTGATGGATGGCAGATCAGTGGTACAGGAAGAGGCATTTGGAGAAGAAAAACCCTTGTGGCCAGATGCAGTTAAGGACAGCTTCCTGATCACTGTGATGGGGCTGGTTCCTGAGCAGATGGCCTGTCAGGTGGCATAAGGGCACAGGTCATAGGGGCATATGTCAGGTGGCATAGGGGCACAGGCTGCAGGCCCAGGACATTGTCAATACACATGGGCAGAAACCTGGGTGGGGGGACAAAGAGAGACAGAGAGAGAGAATATAAGGGTGGATGCTGATAATAACATCTTGATCTTTAAGAGAAAAAGAAGTCCCTGGCTGCAGGTATAGGGGCAGCTATGCAGCACAGTGGTAGTGTAGCCATATGTGTTGAATTTTGTTACAAAAAATAATACATTTTAGGGGGAAAAAACCTTTGTAGTATTGGGGCTCAAATCCAGGGCCTTTACACTAAGCTACATTCCAGCCCTTTTTTATTTTTTACATTCTGAGACAAGGTCTCACTGAATCACTAAGTTGCCCAGGCTAGGCTCAAACTTGCATTCCTCCTGCCTCAGCCCCCCAGAGGGCTGGGATTATAAGCTTGGGCCACCAGACCCAGCCTAGAAAGTAAATTTTATCAAAAGGCCAATGGAATGCTTAGTCTTTACATATATCACTTCAAAATGACAACCTAGTCTCTCAGTACTTGAGGCTGTTTATTTATGAACCAGGAAAGAAAATCTGCTTTTATGGCTGTAGGTGTTAAACAACCAAAGCCGCACCTGTAGCTCTTGGGCCAACAGTATCACTTAACACCGCATGTTGACGTCGGTCATAGTGACCTTTCTTGCTGTGGGCTGGAGTGGAGCTCTTGCAAAGCTGGTTTGTCGTGATGTTAGGGATGATCTGAGTCCATCTGGGTTTGTTTATTAAAACTTTCCAAGGCTGGAGTGTGGCTTGGAGGTAGAGCGGGAGGCCCGGGGCTTGATATTCCGCACTAAAAAAAAAAAAGCCCCTGCTGTGGTGCTGGGGAAATGCCTTCGTCTGCCTGGGCCACAGGTGTGTTCCTGAAGTCAGACACTGAGAAGCCAAACCCCCTGGCTCTTGGAGTTATATCCCGATTCCAGAGATGCTTCTCTGTTCCTGTCCCCACCAGGCAGCCAGTGCCCCATCCCACTTCCTGGAAATGGGGCTGGAGGCATAGCTCAGTGGGCACGAGGCCCTGGCTGCAACCCTCAGCTTCAGAAACAAACCAAAGAACAACCCACCTCCTGGACTTTTAGAAAGACTGTGGTCCTCCGGAATGGGCCACCCTCCTAGGATTCAGAGGGGTGTCCCAGGAGATGCTGGGATGACCTTCAAGGGGGCATCTGAAGACGTTCCCTCCAGGCCAGAGTTGTGCTCACCTGATGAGAGCCGCCATTGCAAGCAGACAGTGGCTGCAAAAACTCTGGCCCTGATCTGTCCACTGTACATTTCTGCCTCTTCTCTGTGGGCTGTACCTGGTGCAGGCTGGGCCACCTGAGTTCCTGGTGGGGTGGAATTCTCTGGCTCTGCAGCCCATCTCTACTGCCACTGTCTTTCTTTCCAGATGTTCAAAGGACCTGAGAAAGACATAGAGTTTATCTACACAGCCCCATCCTCTGCAGTGTGCGGGGTCTCGCTGGATGTCGGTGGGAAGAAGGAGTATCTCATTGCAGGTGCGTGGGAGGGGACCTTGGCTGTGGGAAACCCCATGGGCGCAGGGAACTTCCGGCCCAAACAGCTCCAGGACTTCCAGTTCTCCTGCGGTGACTGTCTTCCAAACGCTTTCCATGAAGGTCCTATTTAATCTCCTATGAGAAAGATGCTATTGTGACCTCATTTTACAGGTGAGGAAAGCTGAGGTAGGGTAGCACACCCCAGACCCAGGAGCTGGCATGGGGTCAGCTTATACCTGCTCCAAAGGGCCAGTTGTAACATTTTTGGTTGTGCAAACTGGTTGATGTCATGTTGGCAGCTTGAAATTGGCCAGGGTGGGAGCATTTCCACCTTATAAATTGGCAGATGCTACCCATTGGAGTTGGTACAAGACAGTTCTCAGCACTACTGTGCTATGTCAGTACCAGAGCAGGGCCACCAGGAGTCCTGCCCCATCTCTGCCTACAGGGCCCAGCTCCCAACCTGCACATCCTACTGCTGCCTTCCCTCTGTGCAGGCCCTGCCCCACAGCTCAGCCACAGTGCTCCTCTTGCATTGCCCACAGAGACTCCTAGCCTGCCCCTGGACCAGCTCAAGCAGCCCTGGAGGGTCCAGCATGCAGCCAGGGCTGACAGCCAGTGTCTAACCAGAACTTCCCTGCTCCAAGTCAAAGGCAGATCCTCCTTTCTGAGTTGTGAGCTGCTTCGCAGCACACGCTCCACAGGGTGGGCAGCCGAGGACAGACACCTGCCCCGCAAAGGACCCTTCTGGGCACTATTTCACCTCCTGGGGTCTTTGCAGTCAGCCAGCCCTCCTCACCCCAGATCCTGAGCCTCAGGGCACCACCCTCTGGTCCATGAGACAGAAGGTTCAGCCTGCGGGGTTCTGGGGGATCTGGGGGGGGGCATCCCTCAGGCTAGGTAATGCCACAGCAGCCAGGAGCCCTAACACAGAGTAGCTCTGCTGTGTATGTGGCTAGTGCTCCCGTTCCATCTCATGTACCCTGACAGCGAGGAAGCCACAGGCCATTAGGAGAGACTGGTCCAGATTTAGGGCAAGGCAGAGCTGTAGGGGGCAATGGCCCCATGATTGTCACTGATGGTCACTGTTTTATGCATTTGGGGGATGTGGTTGGAAAACTTATCTCGTTCAGCCCCTTTTCTGCAAGAGAGAGCTCTCAGTGTCCAAATGAGGCCAGCCTGTGAATCAGTTGCTGCAGAAAGCTGAGTCAGCGCTGTGTGCAGACAGCATGGTTTTCCCCACTTTGGTAGTCAGAGGCTTCTTCACACAGACTCCCTACACAGGCCCATGGCATGGTCCCCAGTCTCAGGAGAAGACAGTGTGCAATAATGCAGTGCACATAGTATAGTCTTTTGAAACCCGAAGCCATCTGGACTATAGCTCCACAAACAGTAGAGACTGAAAGCAGCTGAAGGGGCAGCCACTTAGTAACCGTGTGCCTGTCATCCTACGCTCTTCCGTGTCTACTACTGGAACCAAGCAAGTCACATGAAGTACATTTTAGTCTCTTCACCGGCCATGAGGCATAAGATTGGTAAAAGACCTTACCTCTAAACATATTGCATGCTGGTTTTTAAATTCCTTTCTATATATGTGTAACAGAAAATTTACTGTTGTATCATTAAGTACACTCGCCATGTTGTGTAACTGTCACTCTCCATTTCCAGAGCTTTTTTATCATCCCAAACCAAAACTGTCCTCTCAAACACTGACTCCCCATGCCTCCTTTGCCTGGATGCTGGCACTACCATTCTACTTCCTGTCTCTGTGAAACTGCCTATTCCAGGGACTTCCTACAAGCAAATCATGCATCCTTTTACGTCTGGTTTATTTTACTGAGCATAATTTCCCCAATGCCATTCATGTTGTACCATATGTTAGACTTCCATTTCCTTTTTATGTGCATGCATTTTTAAATTTTAAAAAATGTGATCCCCCCCGTTGAATTCTATGTTTGACTTTAGATTGTTAACAATTTCATTAACTTTCTAACTACTTAGAATCTCAAAGGAGCACTCTGATGATGTAGAATTCCCCATGATGATGCAGAATTAAAGGTGCCAAGTGGTGACCCTTATACAAAGGGAACAAGTGAGATGGGAGGCGGTCCAGGGGGATGCCCAGATGCAGGCTCCAAAAGCACACCTATGTGAGTTTGGACCTATTTTCCTGGCCAACTGAGTTGACCTGTTGGTCTTCCAATGCTTACCCGCCAAGGTTGCTGTGAGGATGAACTTGGAGGTCACAGAGGTACTGGGCCTGATCTAATCCGGACTCACTTGAGGGCAGCTCGTAGTTTTGTTTCATAAATGAGAAGTGGCAGTGATTTATGAGTCCTGGATAGCACAGAATAAAGACTGATGAGTTGGTCCAGAGAGCTGAGTTAGCAGGGCAGCAGAACAGGAGAGGAAGCTTCATTTGTAGAAAGTTCCTCAAGGGACTCAGACAAGAGTGTGGAAGACAGCCCCAGGGTCTCTCTCCCCTTGGCAACTGTTCTTTGAGACAATCGGCAATGACAGGTCTGCCCAGAGAGCAGCTGCTCTCCCTTGAGGGCACACCACTCCATCCTCCTTGCAGGAGCAGGAGCGAGGCCCACGCGGCAGCCTGGCTGACTCACCCCATCACCCCAGGAGCCTCTCTGATCCCACTTTTTCCCAGGCTTGGTCAGGTGACTCCACATTGTTTCCAGCCTTTCCTTCCCAAGGCACAGAACCTATTTCCTGTTCTCTGGAGTCAGGAAGAGTTAGCCAGGGGCTGGGCAGAGATCACGGGACACAGTGAGCCGCTTCACCAGCCAGCACTGACCACATGGCTTGAAGCAGCCCACCTCCTCTGGGCGGGTGACTCACCTTCACATGTTGAGCTGGGCTCTATGAGAACGTGTTCGGGAACTCTTATAGAATTGGCCCTGTAATTTTCTTCTAAGTCCTCTCCTCCAAAAAGGAAAAGTAAACATACAACCCTTAGTTACACATTTTAATTCATTCCTGTTTTTCTGTATCTAAGACTCATGCTTCCCTTTTTTCAAGACAGACATAAGTAGAATGTTGCAACAAATCTTCACGTCATGTAAGCCTAACCAAGTCTTTTTTTTTTTTGGTTTTTCTCCGGTACCGGGAACCGAACTCATGGCCTTGCGCTTGCCAGGCAGGCGCTTTTTGCCGCTGAGCTAAATCCCCAGCCCCGCCTAACCAAGTCTTAATTATACTAAGAGGGATCTTTTAACATTTAATCATGCCACACCATTCATCAGTGACACAGGCAGTTCCTGTGTTCAGCAACTAGGACCCTTGAAAAGATAAAGTTTGAGTTTCAACTCTACTTTTTGCCTTTGCCAATCTTCTGTGGAAGCTTAAACTGGTGGTAAAAGACCAAAAGGGATAAGAGCAGAGAAAGGCAGACTAGGAAAAAAATTATTAAAACAATGTACATCATCTGTAAACTTTATTAGGCAATTATGCAATGTGCAAGGCACCATGGGTATGAAAAGAGACCAACCAAGCCCTTACCCTTTGTGCTTACCATCTGGTTAAGAAGCCAGATGCATAAGAAAGGCCAATGGCAATAAAGACTGGGATATTAATGCTAGGCATGTAGTGCAGTAGAAATCAACGTGGAATTTTGGATGATGGAGCCAGAATAGAAACTCCACTTCTGCATGACAGTAATGCCCAAGTGGGGGAGGGGAGGGCAGGGGCTGCAGTCTGCTGGTACAGGTGGTCGATGCCAGAAGAACCCAGGGGTGGGAATGCACTGCCACCTCACCCTTTTGCTCCTTCTTATCTGCTCTGCACTGGCCACAAGTCTAGGGAGGAAAAGTCAAGCATCTGTTTTTGAAGTGTTTGAAGCCATGCGGACACTTATCTTATTAAGTTTTAGGATTCGGAATAAACGCCACTCTAGTCATCCTTTTTGGTCCCCTTCTCCCCCTGGAATGTCCTACAAATATCAACAGCTAAAAGGGCGTTGAGCTCCCAAACCTAAGAGGAGAGGAGCAGCTAACACCGAGGCAGGCGCATAGGAAATGAAACCCCCGGAGTCTGTGCTGCAGAAGCAGCATACCTGGCACAAGTGATGTCACTGGTCCTCCACAAAAGCCCTGCCCACCTCTCTGGGCTTCCCACAGCAGCCGGCCCCACCAAACTGTACTGTTCCTGCGGCAAGCTACATTTATCTCCATCAGTGGGTTCTCCATGGCCAGCGCGGCATCTGAGATCTTGAAGCGGATATAGTGGCACTTTTGTCAAGCAGAGACTTTCAGGGTATGGCCAGGGCCTCGGTGCCTGTCAAGGACTTGCCTTTTGGGTTCTGCTAGACTCTGGCACTCACCCCTGGGCATCTGTGCCCCTCCACGAGGTGTCAGGGTAGCAGGAGGGATGAGTTTTTAAGTCACCACCATAGCCACCCTTAGATTTTGTCACTGACCTGTAATGTGCTTGTTCATTCTTTTTCTCCTGCCTGGCTAATGCTGAGGCTGTCACCGATGTGATATCTTCGCCGGAGGAGGGAGGGAGCTGACTCAGGAGCCTCAGGCACAAGAAAGGAGCAGCGCCTCCTTGTGCCCAGCAAAGGAAACTTAGAACATATTCCTGACTTTAAAAGCTTCCATGTGTTGGCTAGTCATACTAGAAAAATGCAGGATTGCAGGGTCAATATCAAATGGGAGGAAGGCCCGTGACTAAATATTATTTGCTGAAAAGTAGGAAACAGAATGATATACATACCACATAATCTTTTGTGTGTGAACTTGCCTGTGAAAATATAGATAGTCTCAGGGTGTGGTGGCGCAGGTTTGTAATCCCAGCACTTGGGAGGCTGAGCCAGGAGGATCGCTGTGAGTTCAAGGCCAGCCTGCACTGCATAGTGAAACCCTTTCTCAAAAAGACATATAGATAGCAAAAACCAAAAACAAGGGAGTAGATTACAAAAATAGGGAAGCTTTATAAAATTGTTTCTTGCATTTTTAAAAATAATACTGGGACTTGAACCCAGGGCCTTTTCACACTGAGCTACATTCTTGCCTTTTTATTTATTTTATTTTATTTTATTTTATTTTATTTTATTTTATTTTATTTTATTTTTTGAGACAGGGTCTTGCTAACCTGCCTAGGCTGAGCTTGAAATTTCAATCCTCCTGCCTCAGCTTCCCACAGTGCTGGGATTACAGGTGTGCACCGTCACACCCAGCTCGTTTCTTGCATTTTCTAAGTTTTCTATGGTAAGAATACATTTATTTCAAAACTCACAGTACAACAATCTATGGTATTGTTAGAACTAAATCTCAGCATCCCTGAGTCCTGCCTAGATGTCAGAGATGGGTAGAGGAAGGAAACTCAGCACTCAGCCTGAGCTTGGGGAACTTTGTCTCTCCACAGGAAAGGCCGAGGGGGATGGCAAGATGCATATCACCCTCTGTGACTTCATTGTGCCCTGGGACACCCTGAGCACCACCCAGAAGAAGAGCCTGAACCACAGGTACCAGATGGGCTGTGAATGCAAGGTGAGCATACCCATTGCCCCAGCCTCAACAGGGCAGTTGAGGTGCAGGTCCCTGGCTTCCCAGGAGCCTCAAGTCTCCTGGATCCTGATTTAGAACCAGACTTCTCAGGAGGAAGGCTGCCTGGCTAGGGACAGAGCCTTTGGCCCCTGCTTCTCAGAGAGCCCTGCAAGGGTGTCTGGAAGGTAAAGGAATCTGGGCAAGCACACCGATCCAGCCATGTGGCTGGTAGCTTCTAGGAAGTGCAGCCTTCTCGCGAAAGGAATGCTGTAGGAAAGTGTGCTCCAGTGAATATTTTTCTACAAAGGTGCAAGTGTAAACCTTTGTGTGCTTTGTGAGAGGGCACCCCAGGTGTAATGCCTTCCCCAGCAGCGCGGACATTTGCACACGTGGGCTCTCTGATTGTGGGTTTTCTATGTTGAGAACACTGGAAACACCTGCCTCCCTTCTCAGAATCTGCCCAGAGGTTGTGGTAAACAGACCTGTAGCAGTACAGACACTCAGATGCGACTGAGGAGGTTGAGGTCTCCCCCAGGGCTCCCAGGATGGGGGCCTGTCATCTCCAACACTTTGCCATTGTTCCCAGGGCACCCAGAATCCCTCTGTGTTGGCAGGAGTGACCAGGAATTTCCAGCCAAGCTCTATCCCATGGCAGCCACAGCTGCATAAGGCTCCTCCCATTCCAGCCAGTGCTGCCCATCCTGTGCTCATGCAAAGTGTGAATTCCAAGCTCATGATGTTCCTACGTGCCAGGCACAACTCCCCTATTGCCTAATGTGACATCAGAAGGAAGCTCTCCTTTGCTTAATGTCTGCAAAAGTAGTCACCCTCTTATAGCCACAAGTTCCTTTGCCAAAATATTAGTTGTCTGTCATCTCAGACCTTGTGCTTGAGAGCAAGGTCCAGGCCTTCTTCTTCAGCTGAAATCTGTTTCTAGGAAATGTGAGATCTAGTGCCATTTTGTGTGTGTGTGTGTACGTGTGTATGGGTGTACTAGGGACTGAACCTGGAGTCTTCACACTGAGCTATATCCCCAGCTATTTTTATTTTTTACTTTGACAGTGTCTCACTAAGTTGCTGAATTCCCCAGGCTGGGCTTAAACTTGTGACCCTCTTGTCTCAGCCTCCCAGATTGCTGGGATTACAGGCATGCACAACCAAACCAGACTCTGTTGTCATTCTTGTTGTCCTTGTACCTCTAGAAAGGTTGGCTAAAATAAAACCATCTTACTGTTAGAGAAGGTAGATCAAATGGCCCAAAGGTAGATCAGGGGCTGCACAGGTGGGCAGGTGCGCAGACTTTCCCTGGCACCTACTTCTATATGGAAGGTGTGAGGCAAGACTGCCTTTCTCGAATGCCTCATCAGACACGTAGCTGGGTCCTCGAAGTGCCCCCTGAGTAGCCCAGTCCCTGCCCATTCCTCAGTCCTGGGCTAAATCTGCCTATTTGTCCCCAGATCACACGCTGCCCCATGATCCCATGCTACATCTCCTCCCCGGACGAGTGCCTCTGGATGGACTGGGTCACAGAGAAAAGCATCAATGGGCACCAGGCCAAGTTCTTCGCCTGCATCAAGAGAAGCGACGGCTCCTGCGCATGGTACCGTGGGGCGGCACCCCCCAAGCAGGAGTTTCTTGACATCGAGGACCCGTAAGAGGCCGACAGCACCCCTGTGGCCAATTGAGAAGCCTCCAAGGGTTTAGACTGGTCCAGCTCTGACATCCCTTCCTGGAAACAGCATGAATAAAACAGTCATCCAAATGGGTCACATCAGTGTGATTCTGCCCCTCCCCATTGTCCTTCTAAACATGGTTGTGGGCTGGAGGGAGCAGTGGGCCCAGATCCCCCTGTACCCCTCCCTCCACCAGCCTGGGCACTGTGTGTCTCAGTCTTCGATCCTGGTGTGGGCAGGGGTGGGACACTCAGACTCCCTCCCAGGCCTCCTTGGCACCATCCCAGAGGCTGGGCAGGCAGCATTTAGGGGTCTTCTTGGCCTGGTTAGGGCAGAGCCTGTAAATGTGCAGTTTGCAGAAACTTCTGAGGGTCATTGTAAAACTGTGTAGCAGGCCTACCAGGTCCTTTTCATCCTGAGAGAGGCATGTCCCTCATTTTCTGCAGCAGCCACCTCTCTGGCCTAGGGTGGCAGTCCCTGCTCCTTGCAAGTGCCCCTCATCTTCCCTGGGCCCAACAAAGACTCCTAGCACCTGTGACTCCCCCAGGTCCAGAAGCAGGGGCTCATTCTTAGAGAAGCCCCACTCAGTTTTATAAATCTGCAGAATTCCACTAGGAGCCTCCCTTGGGACCCAGAGAGATGTGTAGCAAGAGACCCCGGCTGACCATGTTTTGACATCATCTAAGTCTCTTCAGCTCCCCACCCCCACAGTCCCCAGCTCCTAGTGGGGATCTGTGTGGTTTCCTGCAGGGTAGGTGTCTGGGGTAGGGAGTTTGCTTAGCTGCCCTCGTAGTTCACTCCTAAGCTTCTCCAGTTGCTGCTGCCTCCTTCCCATTTGGCATCAGGGAGCTGGATTGAGCCACAGCGCTTTGCTTTCCCCAGGCTGGCATGCGGCTTGGCTGGCTGTGTTCCCTGTTTGCACAAACTGAGGATGTAGATGCTGGTTTTGCTGTGCCACACAGGCTTAGTGAAATCTCCCTCCAAGACTGACGGTCACTGTTTTGCTGTGGATTTCTGCAAGTGACATTAGCTAAGTGTATTAAGCTTCACCCAGGGAGGCGGGCAGCTTGCGTGACACTTTAAGTTCTTTCTGGGCCTCCAGGATGCTGTGGCCTGTTTTAAGAGACATCTCAGTTGTCTAAAGATGAATTCTTAGATAATGTGTGAACACAAGTTGCAGGTATGCCAAGATATGCTTCTGTTTCTTATGTCACAAAGATTACCCACTTAAAGACACTTCACAAGGAACTAGAGAACTTACCTGTTCCAGAAAAACGGTTTTCTAATGCCATTACCATGGGAGTTCACACAGGCAGAACTTCTCAGTACCAACACGGAGATTCTCATGTCTCTTTCTACCTGTGTTATAAAGATAAACTTCTCTGAGGACAAACACACACACACACATACACACTATGCAAACACATATATATATATGTGTGTGCACATACAACACAACTGAAATCTGACAGCCCAGGAGTGGCCCTTCTGCAAAACGTTTCCCAAGTCACCATCCTCTAAGCCTGTTTTATTCTGCAGCAAACCCAAAGCAACTGAAGACTCCTGACCCCCAAGTGGCACGCAGCCCCTATGCCCACTGGGACCTGGTCAGCACAGAACTCGATGACTTCCCTTTCCAGGACAGACTGGGAGACTATCCAGGAATCAACTCTTGCCCTAAGGGCGTTTTCATGCTGTACAGTGATAGAAAGTTGGTAAGATGTCATAATGGACCAGTCCATGTGATTTCAGTATATACAACACCACCAGACCCCGCCCCCCCCCCGAATCAGTATAATACCCTGCCCTGTTTGCTTCCTGTATGGTGATATCATATGTAACATTTGCTCCTGTTTCTGCTGACTTCTGAAATGTTTTGGTTTATTTTTGACATCCGCTGTGATCATTCCTGTGCTGTGTTTTTTATTACCCTTGGTAGGTGTTAGACTTGCACTTTTGAGACACAGTTACTGCATCAAGGAAGCATTTGACCCAGAGTGGAAGGCATGACATGGTAGCTGGCCCACGACAGTGGATCCCTACAAATCTTTTCTTTAGTTCCTTGACGACCTTTGCTTTTTCTGCCTCCCATCCTTTGTTCTTGGGCTCAAATTATTACAAAGGAAAGAACCTCTGAGTGGTTTGATTCTAAAAGGTGGCCTTTATATTTGATCCATGCACAATGGTTTTCTAACCATGCTGAGCAGCAGGAGAAAACAAAAGTCAGATCAAAAGGAGGTGCTTGTGGCAGCCGAGAGATGGAGCCCCTCAAATACCTTCACAGTAAATAATTGCAATATATATATAGTTTAAGAAGGATCTCCATTTGGCCTTGTTTAATTTATATGTTATATCCTAAGCACTGCTCTTTTCTCCCTCTATTCTTCTCATCATGCAAGCAACTCAAAATATTTAAAATGAAGTTTACATTGTAGTTGTTTTAAAAATCTTTGCTTGATAAGTATTAAGAAATATTGGACTTTCTGCCATAATTTAAAGCTTTGTTGATTTTGTCTGTTTTCGTTTGGATCTTTTTGTTGTTGTTGTGGGGGAAGCAATGTGTTCACGCTGGAGTATGAAGTCTGAGACCCCCCGCCTGAGCTGGCAACACAGGAGAGTTGTTGAAAATCAACAAGCAGACTGCGCATGTCTCTGATGCTTTGTATCATTTTTGAGTGATTGCTCCGTCAATGGACAATAAACAGTATTATCAAACAGAAGCCTGGCTCTGTCTGTGTGGCTGTCTCCGGTGCTCAGAACGGCTTTCTAGCTCAAGCATGAGGACCGAGCAACTGCAAAGGAGCCTCTTCTGTCTAGGGGAAGGAGCTCCCTCTGGTTCCAAGGGCAAATGGCTTGGGTGCTTTGAAAGGATAATGTGGGCTGTGGCTCTGACAGGGCTGACAGAATGCGCATGGTTTTCTTTCTCTTTTTTCTTTTTTAGTACTGGTTATTGAACCCAGGCCCTTCATACTGGGCCAATCCCCAGTCCTTTTTTATTTTTTTAATTTTGAGATGGTCTTGTTAAGTTGCCCCGACTGAGTTTGAACTTGCAGTCTTCCTGCCTCAGCCTCCTAGAGTGCTGAGATTACAGGTGTATACTACCATACCCAGCTGGGAACATGGTTTTAAGTGGGCAAAGATCCAGGAGGATACAACAGTGTCCCCTTCTTTCATTCAGCACATACAAATTTAAAGAGAGAAGCAGAGCCAGTGAGCCTCCCCTCCCCACTTTCTTCTGGGTCCACACCCACATGCCTAGGCTATTTGGCAAGAAAAGTCCCAGTTTCATTTGTAAATATCTCAGAGCCTATGTCTGAAAACTAAGAAACATGATTTTTGTTGTCTTTTTGAGACAGGGTCTTGCTATGCAGTTCAGGTTGGGCTTGAGCTCACTTTGTAGCCTAGGCTGGTCTCGAACTCACAATGATCCTCCTGCCTCAGCCTTCCAAAGTGCTGGGATTACAGGTGTGCCCCACTACACTCAGTTTAAGAAACATTTTTAAAACATTCCAGAAGTGTTCCAGCATGTTTTAAAAGCATACTTAAGAGTTTGTTATGTCATCAGATATCCAGTCAGTATTCTGACATCTCTGTCACATAAATAAATGCTTTTAACGGTGTATTGCTTTGAATCAGGATCCAGATGTGATCTGTGGATTGCAAATGGCCCATGCTATGATGCGGATATGGCCTGTGTCCTTCAGGGTCTTCAGTGTGGTGCTGTTAACAGGTGTGGGGGGCTTCAAGAGGTGGGGCCTGTGGGGCCTCTGTGCTTTCTGGCTTCCTGACTGGCCATGAGAGCACTCCTCACGCACATACCAACTATGATGCCCTCTGCCATGGCAGGATGCAGCCCATCAGGGCCCTCACCAGAAGCCAGGTCAGTGGAGCTGCCCAACAGCCTCCCAAACTATGAGCTACATGAACCTCTTCTCTTTATAAATTACCTACTCCAGATATTTTGTTATAGTAACAGAAAATGGGAAAATATATTAATATGTCTCTCATATCTCTTTAACCTACAGGTTTCCTCTCCCCATCCCACTCTATCTCATGCTGGGAGAGACAGTCACATCGTATCTTAAATTCTAACCAAATGTCTCATTATTTCAGCTCAACATATGAAAAATATAATTTTCATTAGAATTTGAATAGTTGCCCGCCCTCCAGCCTACATGCAAATTGGGGGCAGCTGGAAGAATTGTGTTTCATTTTGTTTAGCTACTACCTGAAAAGCAAGAACAAACTTTCTGAAGCAGTAAAGCCTGGAACCAAGTTTGTACCAGTATGTGTGCTACAAGACATTAAATTCTACTCACTTAACACCATCCATTGCAGAAATATTTGGATTGGTTGTTTTCCATATGATGAAATATTGGAGGGAAAGTGCAGCAGCATATTATGATAATAACAAAAACTTTCAGAGGCATTTTTTCCTGGGGAGTACCAGGAATCGAACTTAGGACCTTGTGCTTGCCATGCAGGCGCTGCACTGCTAAGCTATATCCCTGGACCTCTTTTTCTTTCTCTCCTTTCTTTCTTTCTTTCTTTCTTTTTGTCTTTTTGAGACAGGGTTTCACTATGTAGTTCAGGCTGGCCTTGAACTGTCTTTCTAGTCCAGAATGGCCTCAAACTCAAGGCAATCCTCCTGCCTCAGCCTCTCTAGTGCTGAGATTACCACACCTGGCTTCAGAGGCATTTAAATGACTCTCCCTAGCATTTACAGCGCATGTCAGCCTGCAAGCCACATTTCCATCCTAGCAAACCACACATCAGATGCTTGCGGCTCATGTCATTCATTTATTTAGGTCAAATGTGACATTAAAAAAAGAAAAACAATTTCTCATTATGGAAATTTTCAAACATATACAAAAATTCAGGGAAGGGTAAAACAAACTCCATGTGTTCATGATCCAGTTTCAACAATTATCCAAGAGTTGTTGGCAATTTTAAATCTGTGCAGACCCACAGTTTGGGAGGCTGAAAGCCCAGGTCGGGCAGCTCCACTGACCTGGCCTCTGGTGAGGGCCCCTTTGGGCTGCATCCTGTCATGGTAGAGGGCACCGTAGTGCGTGTGTGCATGAGAAGGAGTGCTCTCATGGCCAGTCAGGAAGCCAGAAAGCACAGAGGCCAGTGACGGCCCCACAGGCCCCACCTCTTGAAGCCCTCCACACCTTTTAACAGCACCACACTGAGGACTCTGAAGGACACAGGCCAGTGTGTAGACCTACTACCGCAACTGGGGTAGCCAGGTTATTAAGAGCCCTCCCAGACCCCATGGTGGTCAGACCATTCACCCGCAGACACATGAGGGTTCACGTAGGAAACACAACAGCAAACACTTCAGGATCCAACTGGAGGAGTCATGAGGCCTGTTCCTATTCCTTTCCATGGTCTTATCCCGACTCAGGAGACCACGTCCCTAAACTCCCATGGGGCACCACTGGGGAAATCACTCTAACAAACTGAATCATCCCAACAACAGCCACCACTCAGTCTACACCAGGACTGCTGCTGAAGGTGTCACACTCTTTGTCACACTGAATGCATGCCAACTGCAGTCTTCTTACCTCCCCCATTTGATAGATGAGAAGTTGAGACCAGCCCAGTGGAGTTGCTGGTCACGCAGATGAGAAGTGCTGGCTTTCAGTGAGAAGAGGCAAAGGGGCTGCAGGTGCTGAGCTCTGTGGCTTGGGGGTGACACCCATCACCTCCTCCCAGCTCATCAGAGAGAACTGGTAGGGAGATGTCAGTGGTTGAGAAAGGTAACCCTGGCCACCAGCCACTTCCTGAACCCAAGGGAAGACCATGAGTTCTGCGGCCGTGAAACCCAGCCTGCTGTTTCTGAGCTGCTCTATCAAGATAGAACTCATGTGCTGACAGTTCACCCGGTCAAGTGCATAATTCTCTGGTTTGAGCTCTATTACGTGATTCATTTCTTTAAAAACTGAAGCACCATCCTTATTATAAAATTTACCATTTGAATCATTTTTAATTGTATAATTCAGTGGCATTGATTATAATATTGGAACAATCATCACTACTACTTCCAAGCCCCCCAACAGAAACTATAACCATTGAACCACAACTCCCGATTTTCCCTTCCCTTTGGTCCCTGGTGACTTCAAATCTATTTTCTGCTCTATGGATTTTCCAATTCTAGAGAGCTTGTGTAAATGGAATCGTATAGTAGGTGGTCTTTTGTGTGTAACTTATTTCACTTAGCAGGATGTGCCTGAGGTTCATTTGCATTGTATGTGTCCTCCCTTCTAAGGCTCTACTATCCCACTGCAAGTGTACATCTCGTGTTTATCCGGGCAAACACGTGGGCGCCTGTGTTGCTCCCACCATCCGGCTACTGTAAACAATGTTTCTGGGAACATAGGGGTGCAAATGTCTGCTTTTCCCCTGCTTTCAGGCAGGCATATCTATGGTAGTTTTGTGTTTAGCATTTTGAGGTACCACATTTCCACAGTGACAGTCCACTTTACATTCCTACCAGCAGTGTGTGAGGAGCAGTATGTTTTCAAGTTACCCCTTCTGCACCTCTCTTAAAGGGGGATTCCCAGACCCCCTTGCTAGGCCAGATGACAATTTACAGTATTCAGGAAACTTCTAGGGTATAAATGCAAAGTTACACGGTCACAGTTTATTTTATATTAGGAAAATAAATCACATTGGAAATCATGAAATATGAGCCATCTACACGTGGGGAGGATTCCAGAGAAACCCATGGAGCAGGACAACCTATAAAGACAAAGTTGCCTTACCCACCGGGCACCACGCACAGGTCCTGGCCTTGGTCAGCTAGTACAGTCGGGCTGGCCTCCTGCCCCGAGCTCAGCGCCCCTTCTGATGGCCCTGTCTTCTGGGCTCATGCCTGCCTCAAGTCCTCTACCCATGCTGCTCCCTCCCTCCAGAACTCTCTTCCTTCTTCTTCCCACAGCCAATTCCCAGTCCCAACATAGGCACAGCTTCAGAAGAGTCCCTGACCGCCCCCCATCATCATTCATCATTTTAATTATGCAAACTTGATTCTTTGATCATTACCAGCATGCCGTTAACCTGCATCCTTGTTAACCAAGACACACTACTGTTTGGTGCCACAAGGTCATACAAAGACATGTCACCCAGGAGGATGATGAGGACACTATGTGCCAGAGCCTTGGACCTTCCTCCCAGGGAAAGGAAGAGGCTCCCCCGCTCTGTCTGAGGCTGCCTGGCAAGCACGTCCCACAGCACCTTCAGGTCCTGCTGGGAAGAAAGAAGCAGGGAGAACGCAGGAGGGTGCACAGAGGCAGATCTGGCCAAAGAGCCCGGCAAAGGTCCTGGCAGGAGGGAAGGCAGGGCATGGCAGGAGGCGTCAGAGTGACAGAAGGGTGGGTACCAGTGTGACAGCAGGGAAGAGGGAGGGCTCTGAAAGTGTGTGTGTGGTGTGGGAGTGTATCACAGGTGTGTGACAGAAAATAAGTGCATGAGAAGTGTGAGTGTGAATAGGTGCAGATGCGGGGTATGTGTGAGAGTGTGTGGGAGTGGTGTGTGTGCACATGAGGGAAATCCCTGGGCCAAGCTCCATGTGGAAAGAGGTCCTACCCAGCCCACTCAGGGAAGGGTCCTGTGGCCTGGGCACAAGCTGGCTGAGGTGGCAGGGCCTGAGGGCAGCCCCGAGGAACTGACATTGAGTCCCCAGACCTAGGAGTCCAGGCACTTCCCTTCCAAA